TCTACTAGCTCGTACCTCCCCTACCCTAATTCGTTTCCTCCTTCCCTTCCTCCTACCCTCCGACTCTCCTCCCCTCCCCCCCCCCCCCCCCCTCCTCATGACAGATTCGATCTATTTGCCTTCAGAGTATTCGTCATCGTCTCGCTACCCTCCCAGTTTGCCCCCTGGGTCGCCTGATTTCGCCCAAGGTTTCCTGTTTCCTTCCAGTTCCTCCCCTGCTCTCTTGTGCTCGATCCTCTCTTGCTCTGCTCTCTCCAGCTCTACCTCTAGTCCTGTCTCCTTCTGATCTTCTCTCTCATCTCCGCTGTCTGCTGCCCCTCTCTGCCCTTCATCCTTCTGCCCCGCCCTGCGGTACACGTACAAACTGCCATGGATAAAGATGTTGGTCAGGGTGGGGACGAGGTCAGTCGACGGGCGAAATGGCGGGGCATGCGGTGGGAGCGCTTTCGATGGCAGTGGGAAAGTTGCAAGCGAGCATGGGGGAGGCTTATGGGAAGTTGACGGACACACTGAAGCAGAACCTCTCCATCATGCAGAGCATGAACGAGTGCATGGAGTTCTACATGACAAGCGGGCTGGCCTTGAGGTTGGAAAGTGCCGGATGCGGAGAGGAAGGGACGAGGGTGAGGGTAGTAGCAGAGGACAAGATCAAGTTTCCGATCAAGAACGTCACATTTTCACTCACCCTTCATGACAAGAGTGAGAGTGAGAGTGAGAGTAAGAGTGAGAGGATAGACGCCTCTGTCTCCTCGTATGAGTATGGACCTCTGGTGACCGACCAAGCTAACAAGAGGTGCTGGTATCGGCTGATTTCAACCTCCTCCTCACGTGTTGGATAGGAGGAAAGTCATGGATAACGATAAACATGAAGAGAATAAGACTGAGGTCGATCCAGTGCCTTTCGTTCGGGATCCGCTAACCGTAATCTAACCAGGCAACTGCGTTGGAGTGGAAAGAAGGTAAGTCCAGTCCTCGTCGGGATTTCACCTCTCTGCTCCTGCTCCTGCTCCTGCTCCTGCTCCTGCTCCTGCTCCTGCTCCTGCTCTGCCTCCTTTCTCGCTACAATCTATTTCCTCTGAGAGTTTCTGCTCGCCTTCACAGATGTGGGTACATGGAGTTCGACGGCCTTCGACTTGATGCCAGGAGAGAGCAAGGAGAGTATTATCAAGATACGTCAGAGCTATCCCAAGTGTTATGCTCTGCATTTGACGGCATCATTTCCAAGTCCTGGAACAGGAAATCAGCTTCAAATCACCAGCACCTTGCATGTGAGAGACTTTTTCCTCTGAAGTTCCTCCTCGGCCCGTCGCTTTCTGCATCCTCTTCTGCAGCCCCTTGTCCTCCTTGCTGTGTCTCTCTATCAAAGTGAAGCATCTTGCCTTTTCTCGCAGATTCCTCTGCTCGCTCAACTCAAGTGCACATGGTGTGGAAGTGAGGTAGAAGGCGCAAGAGATGAAGGGGACTCGCTCAACTTCACTGCGTCTGTTGCTGCGAAGCGTTTGAGAGAGGTGTTCAGCATCCCTGAGAAGGAGGGGATCCAGAGAGATGCATGCGGCACCATTGCGACGTTCACCGGAAAGACGGTTCGTCCGGCGAAACTACCTTCTGCCATGACACAACGGTGCTCAGGTGGCTCGCTTGACAGTTTTGCCGGATGAAGATGCAATGGACCGAGTGCAGATCAAACTCAAGGTCTCATGCTGTCGAGCTCGATCCTGCTCCTCCACTGACTTACCCCTCTGCAGATCATCGAAGAGATCGAGGATCATGGCAAAGAGGCCTTGAGAACAATCTTCGAAAAAGAGCTACAATAGCGCTCTTCTTAAGTCACTCCTTCATTAATCTTTCACCGATTTGCAAACCCTGCCTTCTATTGCACATCACTTCAGTCATCGATTGCACATCATGTGTTAATTGGCGAGCCTCAACAAGCTTCTCTTTCACAAGGACTCTCTGCCTACGTTGTAACATTGCAGTTGCCCTTGACTTCGCAAGACTGCCACATGGGAGGCGGCCATTCACAGCTCAGTACAGACTGTCTCAGGCCAAAAATGATTGCAGCTGTGATGAATATGAGAAGAGGGAGGTAGATGTACACCCCGAAGTGATGGGCCATGAGCTGCTCAGTCTTGTTGCTGAGGTTGATCTTGGGAACGCGATACCTGAAGAAAGGAACGTCACCGACCTGTTGCATGAGGCAGGGGATGATGGTGAAGAGGAAGGGTGCACTGTAAGAGGATTGTACGGGGACAGGAGAGTTTGGATTCCAGAGACGTCATTGGAAGATTATGAAGGGGATGAGGGGAATGAGGAGAAAAACAAGTAGGGGAACAAGGATGAGGAGGAAGAAGGTGGGGACGGGGGTGAGGAGCAGAGTAATGAGAAAGAATGTACTCACTTGGTCTCCTGAACATCTTCTTTGATCTTTTCTGGGCAGCACTGCAAGAGCATCTCAGCACCCACCAACATCAAACTCGGTTCGGCCTCACCGACTCGAAGACGATCTCGTCGACGTTGAGGACGAACATGACGGCGACAGTGGAGCGGATGACCAGGTCCACGGTAGGGGAGGTGAAGATGAAGAGAACCCCGGCCATGAGGATGCCGTACCAAGTGCAGACCTCGGTCAGGACAGCGCAGATCAGGATGATGACTCTCTTGACCATGGAGACATTCAAACTTCGCGCTTCCTCTGTGTCTGAAACTTCCTTTACCAGCTCCCCCACGAAATCGCCATCGCCAAGCTTGTGATGAGTGCAAGTGAGGCAAATCCTTAAAAAAATCGTCAGGGAAGCTCTCGCACGGGAAGAGGCTCAACCAACCTTGCCGCCATGCTCATACCCGCGATGTTGTTGAACATGAGGGTCAGGAAGATCATAGTCGCAGCAAACTGCAGCTTCACTGGGATCTCGCAGATGTTGTGCCCTTCCAGGTCAAAGGAGGGCAGGTGGTTCTCGATGAGCTCGGCAGCGAAGATGGACTGGATCAGTGCAGAGACTGCGACGAGAAATCCACATTTCCACAAGGCTGACTTCAACCCTGACTGCAGCCCCACGTGAATGAACGCGCCGTACGCGTTCTGTGCGGTTGTCACCCACATGCAACCCTCGTCAAGATCCTGCGTCGACACGTTTTCGACCTCACAGCATCCGCTCTCCTCCACCTTATTCTGGTCTACCTCGGTCAGGGCATCTGGGTACACTCGGTTCGGGTTCGAGGGCCTGGAGCTAGTGCTGTCAACCACGAAGTGGTCATGCTTCATCGTGGGAACACGGAACGTGCTCGGACGGTATCCGGGGCTGGGGCTCATGGCGAGCTCGGGGTCGAACATAGTCTTCTCTCGATGAGCGCGCACATGGATGGGGCCGAGTCGGGGCCTCCGGTCTGGGTCTGGACTGTGCGCCCTGTCAGCTTGCACAGTAGCATGAGACTCAGCGCTCTCGGTCGACATGGAGGTCATCTCAGCAAAATCATGGCCGGAGGAGATTTCACTGTTTCGTGCCTTGTAGTTCTCGCCATCACAATCTTCTCTCTCCTTCAGACGAGCTTCGACATATTCCTGTATGAGCAGCCTGAGCTTGTCTTCACTTATCACCATCATGGAGCTCTGCTCCTGCCCCCCCGCTGTTCCTGTCGTCTGGTCCCTGTTGGCAGTCGATCCCTCCTCACCTCCAGCTCTGTGGTCCATCTCGCTCATGGAACCAACCCTCAGATCAGGATTTTGATTCAGCAGATGTTCTTTCAGAGCCTCGAGCTGCTGCAATACATGGGCTGAGTCCATTCTTACAGGGTTGCCCAACGGCGGTAGGTCACTCATCACATAAAGCCAAGGTGAGTGATGGATTGAAACCTGCACAACAAGGCAGCGTCAATGGGTTTTATCTCAAAATCAAACTGGCAGTAGCGGTGAGAAACATATCCCGAAACAGGAACCTAAAGATCTGCGGATTGGGAGGTATGGAATTGTGAGGGGTTGATACCATTTGGCCAAAATAACGGGAGGCAAACATAAGCAAGGAGGGGCAAGACTCCAAAAGAATGCAGTTGCAGGTGCCAGGGAGAACAAAGAGCGACAGGCATAATTCAACAACAGAATAGCAGAGCGATGTTGCCATGAAACAATGAGGAACCATGTTTTGATGAGACTATCATCTTCTCCTTGAGTGGGTGAAGTGAAGTGGGAAGAGGAGACGAACACAAGTGGGAAAGGAGGTGAAGGGCTGGCGAGCGGGGGACAGTGGGCGGGCTATTCGAAGGAGGAGAGTGGGAAGTGAGCAGGATGGGGACGAACAGAGGATGGCGATGAAGGTAGAAGACAGCGGAGCGGCGGGAGAGAGGGGAAGGGAAGGACAAAGAGTGGGGGAGAGCGAGGAGAGGAGAGGAGGAGGAGGATGACACTATGCCACTTGGGGAGGTAGCATGGCGACGGTTTTGAGTGCAAAGGTTAATTTGTTAAAATGAACTCAATTGTTTATAATTTGCCTCCATTCTCAAATTAATTTTGAAATGTTAGAGAGCATTTTAGCTGACATTATTCGAAATCCCCTATGATTCCACCGTGTAAAACAGCGGAATCCTTCCACTCTACTACTGGGGATTGTCGTAGTATTTTTAAAAACAAATAATTGGAGTTGAGCTGGTTCTACAAGGCATGGAAGGCCCTCAATACCACAAAAATAGTTGTTGACGATATTTTAAAAGACACTCCCGTACGACGTACTTGAGGGGAAAACAGTACCAGGTATCACTTTACACTCAAAATAAAAATTAGTAAGACGATACAGTACCTTGAATCTGACAAAGTGACCTAGCTAAAACTATATATAAATATTTACTCAACAATCTTTTGGGCCGGGCAGGCCCGGCACGTCCCGGACCCGCCGGACGGCCGAACTCAGACTCGTATGGTGTGGTCAAAACAATGGTCAAAGCGAAAAATGCGATCAAGGACTAGTCGTGAATGGTGAAAGATGAGGACGAAGAGCTTCAGATTGCTGTTGACTCATTCAAACATGGCTGGATCAGACACTTGAAGCTGTAAGGGAGAGATTGCTCCAACTATCCTCACTTCTTGTAAGCCTTTCATTTCTTGAACGAACTACCCGATGGCTTGCTTCCTTTGATGAGAGGAAAGATAGTGCTCCTGCCAGCCTTGCTTGTCACATACCCCCTCCTTGTTATCAGTGTTCTACAACAAAACAAAATGGATCATCGCGATGTTCCTACCCAAGGGAAGCGAAGTTTTCTCTCGGGACCTGTACGAAAGTTGTTGATGATCAGCCGGAGTGATGAGCTTGATGCGATTCATATGGTGCACAACGATCAAGGGACGTTTGCATGGGAGCTTTTCAACAGACCAACCTCATCCTCCGAGCGGTGAGACATTTCTTGCTCGGGGCTGCCTCCCATGACTTGTGCTGCACCCATCAGCATCGACGGGTGCGATTGTGAGGTGTACCTCAAGTCTTCGAGTTACCTGAAGAGTGTTGCTCGCTCTTGCTGGGCATACTTGCTCTCGGGACAGGCTCGAGCTCTGCTAGAGCAGAAAGCTGACGAAGTCTGCAGCAACAGATCGCATGCGCGCTCATTGAAAGTCGTTCTTCTCCAACACCTCCATGTTATGGAAAGCTCGGACAAGAGCTGCGCTGGAAACCCTGTGAAGGAGGAGGAGAGGTCGAGAATATTCTTTACGTCAGCTCTCTTTCTATGCAGCTTCCTTGAAAGGATCTTGTTCGACATCTTCTACCACGCTCTCTCTGTCAGAGTGAGAAGCAGTCAAAGAAGTACAAGCGGGGGATAAATGATTTGCATTAGCAGGGCTCAGAGTTGGAGGGCGCGGTGAAAGAAAATCCCCCAGCATTGCTACGAGATCTTCTGCAGCATCCTGTGATGAAGGCGGCGCTTCCTACCGGTGAGCTCTCGCCCGTAAACTCGGGGGGAGATGAAGAGTGTTTGCGGAGCAGGAGCAGCAGATTGGATGAGTATGTTGTTTCATCCAAAATGTTTGAACCTTCGGAATGTGAGGGGCTCTTCTGCTACGACTGATGACTTCCCGCTGACACTTGACCTCCTCCAGCTCCTCTGGCATGGCTTCCTTTGCCCAGCAGACTTTCCTGCGGAGTATTCCTGCCTCCTCCTTCTCCTCACCATCTCACTTCCGCAAGTAGCAGCAGCAGCAGCATGAGTAGAGGAAGGGCAGCTGATGAAGTCCTCAGGCACCTCAGAGACCATTCTTCGAGGTAGAAAGGTACGATGTCATTGTCAGGCACATCCCTCCATGCACGGATGAGCTAAGGTGAGGAGAGACAAGTGTTGTTGCTGATCACGATAATGACGACCATCATCATCATCATCATCATCATCATCATCATTACCACCACCACCACCACCACCACCACTACCGACACCATCCTCCTCCTCCTCCTCCTCATCATCATCATCATCATCATCTTCATCATCATCATCATCTTCATCTTCATCTTCATCGTCTTGTCCTTCGAATGAAGACTCACTCTTTCGTAATTTAAGGTTGAGTTTCAAGTCAGAGATGTTTCGATCTTTCATACAATGTTGCGATTTCTTCCCTCCTGCATGTCAAGACGCGACCGTATGGGCGATCGATCACTATTGCCAAGGAAATTACCATCATTTCTTGGTTCCGACATCATATTTTTGCCGACAGTATCTAACGTTCCTTCCTGTCTATCAGTCCATCTACATCCCTGTCCTTGAGATGTCATTAAGACATACCTTTGCTAAGATCAACAAGGTCGAAGATGTTCTGACAGCCAACTGGTTAGCATTGTTGATGTTTTCCTCCTTGTTTACCCCGATCCTCCCTTGCTCCTCGATTCCAAGCTCCTCTTGCGACTTGTTCCTCCTCGAATTTCACTGCCTTGTCCTCTAGCGGGCAATACTTCTCGACACTGGACGGCTATGGGCAGGTGATGATTGGACGCGCTGATCCGGTGAAGCATGATAGACGGGGCAGATGGACAAGCACCAGCTGCTGCTCGCTCCGTCGCTCCATCGGGACTTACTCAGGAGCAGGCAGAAGAAAGTGACAACAGAAGGGCAAGACGACCAGATGCAGCAGGGGGAGCAAGCAGCGAGCAACAACGAGCTGCTCTCCTGGATGGGCTTCGGTGCCTTTGCCTTCCTGCAGGTTGTTGGTCTCTTGCGCTGCTCCACATCTGACTCAGTCTGCAACTTTGCCTCAGGATTTCTTCCTCCTTGAAGACGGGCCGGCTTTGAGGGCCCGCGTTGCGCACGGCGACTTTGAGATTTCACCTTCTGAGCTCCAGATGGCTATGAACCCCAGCTACGTGCCAGAAGGGGGAGAAGGGGATGGGGAAGGAGCAGCAGGGGCAGCGGCAGGAGCAGGGGCAGGGGCAGGAGCAGGGGCAGGAGCAGGAGCAGGAGGCAGCGGCAGATCTGTCTCGGTCCTCGAGGCTGTCTGCACTGCTCTGATCCACCTAGGAATTCACCTCTCCTCTCTTTCTCTTCATGAAGGAGCATCGTCAAGGGACAACAGGAAACAGCTGCAGGTCCCGACCGGGATCGCTGAGCTCGTTGCCTCCTCCTCCTCTTTCTTCCATGAGTACGACTATCTGTTTCATCCCCTGAAGAAGCTTCGAGAGAACATCGAGCAGTGATCCTCGAATCAGGAGGGCGTGCCCCCACTCACTGCTCATCCAGGTACCGGGAGAGCATACGGCAGCTCAAGGCTCATTTAGACCAGCTGTCTGTAGATTTGGAAACAGAGGAGGAGGAGGAGGAGGAGGAGGAGAAGTTCAGTGTGGCGGCAGCGGGCGAGGTTATGAGCCCCGAGAGACGTGTAGAAGAGCAGTTGACGTGGGTGAAGATTGTTCACCGAGAACAAGGAGAGGTCAGATTTCAGGAGAAGAAGTCGAAGGTTGATATTGCCTGGCGCAACGGACCGTTGAGGATGAGAGAAGCTTACCAGGAAGCAACGATTGCTCTTGGTGATGAACAGTGGAAGAGGAGAGCGAGGAGAGGAGTGGAGTTTGATGCTTGTTTGTTAGGCACACGAGTTTCTTGTTCCTTGCTGCAAGGAGGTGCTGGGAAATGTTCTTTAGCAGCGGAAGAAAAGGTGAGTACAGAGGAGAGAAGTTTGTTCGAGGCGAGGTGAAAGGAGGAGCGACGATGGATTAAACCTGGAAGGGAGGGGGGAGGGAGCGGGGAGCGGGGAGCGGGAGGAGCTGGCAAGGGAACGAACCGAGGGACTATGTTCAGCTGACGTTTCTATCAGCTCGAAGAAATCATCCGAGTGAGTTGGCAGAGAACGTGTGGGGTCAGGGGACGGGGGGAGAGCCACCAGCCGCAGGAGGAGGAGCTAGGGTGTGAGGTCCCTCACGTAGACTGTATGAGGTGAGGAGCGTCTCCTATTTCAACTCTTGATGCACTTCTGCCCACAATCGCACGATATCTGACAGTCGCTGCCCTGCCCTGCCCTGCCCTGCCCTGCCCTGCCCTGCCCTGTTCTGTCCCGTCCCGTCCCGTCCCCTCCTTTTCTCTCCATCATTTCCCCCTCCGCAACAACCAAGATCACTGAGGATGATACCAGAGCATGCTGCAAGGTTGCTGCGCGGACCACCTCAGCCATCAGCTCGCGGGTGTCTGCCATGACCAAGAGCCTCATCAACAGGAGCGCGCGAACCGCAGAGGCAAGCACGGCATGCGTCCCTGAATGTCGGCATGATACGAGATTTGCAGAGGAGGCAACTTGCTTCGACCCTGCTCATCTCCGACCTCATCACGGTGAACAAACTTCTGTCCAACAAACTTCTGTCCTCCCCATCAAGACAGGGAAACCAGTCAAGAGACGGGAGGAGCTGAGCACGCGAGCACGAATCAGCGGCCCGAGAGTTCGCATTCCCTTCTCGACTTGTTGCGCCTCGTTTCTCTCTTTCAACCTTCCCTTCTCCTCTCCCCCGTGTTGGCTTTCAAGATCAGTCTCCCTCCTCTTACTCTCCCCTTAATCTGCCTACAGGTAGCCTGCCACCTCCCTCTCCTCGTCATCGAGCTAGTCGTGTTCAAGCACCTCGACAACCTGCCGCTGTTGAGCAAGCTCTTGGCGACGCTCGAGGTAGAGGCAGCTGGAGGATGGTGCCGGGTTGATCGATCTACCGCAGGCTGCATCCTCCCTCGTAGACAAAGGCCGAACGGTCGAGGCAGTGAGCAAGGTAGAAGGTGAGTGGAATTTTCTGCTGCCATTGCGCGCATGTGCGTCAGTGCATGTCTGTCACTGCATGTCGTTGCGCCCTCACGGTTCCTGTAGCCCTGACGGGAGGGTTCAGGTTTCTTTGCCTCCAAGACAGCGTCGTTGGCACTGAGCCGAGTGAGAGCGGGGGAGAAGTAAACCCGCGCAAGCAAGCACGGACTTGCAGCATTGCCGGCAGCGCCTGATGTCCTCGACACGCTCCGCAGCCAGTCATGCACCTGCAATGATCGTGTCATATAGAGCTTGATGCTCTTTCGGGCCCTCGCGCTGTGTACGCGAACCGTGCTGCGAGACCTTGTCGTGTCGACTGGGATGGATGGAATAGAACCGCCTCATCTCAGCATGGCTGTGCTTGCAGACCCGACGACCTGACGGCACGTGATTGCCCATCGACAGCTCAGCAGACTATCTCTATTGTTTATCCGGGTGCTTCAAGTGAGATGCTTCAAGGATCGTCTTGCCATATCGTCGCGTGATGACCGTGCGCGTACACAGGTCTGCGCGATGTCTGTGCGCCGTGAGGTCTTGAGAGAGCAATCTCTCCTCTCTATCCCTCCCTCTCTATCTCTCCTCGTCTTGGCTTTGCTATCCCGGTGTCGTCTCCGCGCATAGCTCGTTTCCTTGCTTCTGATCTGCAAGTACCCCCTGCCTTGCCTTCCTCCTCCCGTCCCGCTTCGTCTTCTGTGCTGTCTGTCGTCAGCTCTGTATCTCCATCGCTCGCATCATCTTGCTCATCTCCCTCCCTCCCTCCCTCCCTCCTCACACGTGAGCCGCACGAGCGCATTCCCGCAAAACGTCGCGAAGTACCCTACGCTGACTCCTCCCACCCCCACCCTCCTGCACCCCCTGTGTGCTATCACCTCACCCTGTCGCCTCGTACCGTCCTCTCCCACCCCACCCCTTCTCTCCCATCCCACAAACTTCTCCCCTCACCAACCGGTGCAGCAGACGCAGGTAAACAGGGGTGGTGGCCCGACCGCCCAGACAGACCATGGCAGGGAGGCAGCCAAAAGAGCGATGCGGGGATGGGGGAAGGAAATGGACACTTATCAGACGATCGTAGACAGACTCTTGCAAGAAGCTCTAGTCATGGACTGGCATGCAACGTCGACGGCCATGCAGGCCTTTGCCACGAGCTCGGGGGAGATCCGCAGGTTGTTCAGCCCTGCCAACTATGGGCTGCTGATGCAGCAGACGCAAGGGGTGATGGAGAAGCTCAGCAGGTTTTGTCGGCAGGCTCAGGGTAGGGAGGACTTGGGCATCAAAGACCCGGACATGATCCAGGAAGCAGGCCTGCTCGCCTCCTCCCTTGAGTTCAGTCATGAGATCATCGTCCGTCTGTACGGCCTGGCTGCTGCCTCCTGCGTGACATCGGAGGATCAGCTCAGGGCGTCGTGGGCCTCCTGGTCGAGAGTCTGCACGAGCGGCATGACCTTGCTATTGCACTACACATCCTCTCGTGAGCACCTCTCCTGGCTGTGCAGCCTCTGCAAGAGGACGCCGACCTTCTACAGCAAGGGCATGGGGATCATGCTGAGCTACCTCCGCAAGCACGTCCTGAGAGTCTCGGGGGAGGTGCGTCTAGTGCTCGAGAGCAAGCAGCATGACCATGAGCCCTGCCTTGGCTTCACCTACCTGATGACTCCAGGTGACCAGCGCACGGCACAGCTCCACGACGAGGTGATGAAGCTGCGGCGGAAGCAGGGAGCCGTCAGGCGCTTGTTCCAGAGCGCGGAGTACAGCGCGGAGCTTGACGATTACATCTCCACGCAGACGCGCATCTCGCGCTATGCCAGCAGCACGGTCGACATGGCCCAGGTCTGCATGCAAGAGCTCAGGCGGGACATCCGAGGGAATGAGGACCTGTGGGGCTCCCGGTGGAACCTCCAGATCTCCTTCACGTTCTACGACGAGCAGAGCAACGCGTCTCTGACCTTGCGGTACATCAAGCTCGACAACGACGAGACCCTCAAGCGCTACGCTCAGGCCATCGACATGCTGCGCAAGACCAAGAGGCTGCCTGTCGACGCTGTGGCCATGATCGCCTCTGTCCTGATCCCTCACTGCTGCATGAACAACTTCAAAGCAGGGGCTTGTGTTGATGTCGAATAAAGATCTGCAGCTTGTCTTGGGATATGGAAGAGCCATGGGATGAGATGGCCAGGGACACGCTGACCTGTCTCTCCTGGCTGCGGGCTGCCTGGTATCTGATGGGTTCTGCCTGCTGCAGGGTCCTCCCTCGTTGCTGCTGCCATCTCCGTGCTGGCTGCTGGCTTGTTGCTGCTACCATCACCCTGCTGCCATTTGCTGGCTCCCCTTTTGGCTCCCCCCTCCTTGCTTCTATTCCCTGCTCCCTGCTCCCTCCTCCCTGCTTCCTGCTCCCTGCTCCCTCCTCCCATATCCCTGCTCCCTGCTCCCATCCTCCTGCTGACCCCTCCTGGCTGCTGTCGTCTGGCTGTACTCTCCCTGCTAGTCTCTCCTCGCTCCTCGCTCCTCGCTCCTCGCTCCTCGCTCCTCGCTACGTTTCCTCGTCGCCAAGGATGCTCCCTCAATCCCACAAACCTTCCCTACCACCACCCCACAAGTCCTGCCCCACCCCCTAGAGCTCCCACCCCGTGTCGGTCCCTGGCTTGACCCTCTTTCTGACCTTCCTCCACCCACCTTCTGGATATCCCCACCCCGCCCCGCTTCCCACAAACACGACCAGGGGACGACGGAAAGGCTTCATAAGGGAAAGGGGAGGGGAGGGGAGCCGCTACGCCATGCCCTCCTACATCAGCGATCTGATGCCTTCCCTGTTTGACGCCCTCTATACTCCTTGGGGTACCCTCATGGACGCGTACGAGGACTGGCGATCCCTGCCGCACCCCCAGAGGTCGGACAACATGCCGACTCTCCAGCATTACTTGTCCCTCCAGCGCCCGTCCCTGCTGGCGATGGTGCAGGAGCTACGCAAGTTCGTGCTGAGACACAAGCACGACATCGTGCATAGCGAGCGAAAGCACAGCTGGTCTGCTCCTCACTCTGTCTACGCCCGCCTGGGGGAGATCATCGACTTTCTCTTCGACCTGGAGGAGGAGGGCCTCCTGAGGTGCGACGAGGAGATGGTCTCCGCGGTCCGCAGGCTGCACGCTCCGATCCTCCGGCTAGAGCGCATCTGCTGGCAGGACAGCAGGTGGGCCCTTCCCTCGCCCTAGCGTCTTCCTCCCCTGCAGCCTTCTCCGCTCCACTCCCACCCAACACCCGTCCACAAGCCCCACAGCCAATACTTACCACCCGCCCCTCTAACCCCATCCATACACACCGCGAGGACGTCTCCGCAGCCCTGCAGCAGCTCGCATCTGCCTCCCTGCAGGAGACCCCGGGCGTCGCCGGGCGCCTACCACCCGTCCTCCTCCTCCTCTCCCTCAGGCGGAGCCTCCGCGAGCCTCCCACTTGTCGACGTCTCCACCCGCCCGACCGCGTTGGTCGTGCAAGGACCCGGGCAGGCGTGCAGACCTAGACAGGCGATGCGGAGGGAGAGATGGAGGTAGCGGGCATGTAATAAACGAGCTTGACGCCAGGAGGGTGACGATGATCCCATGTGATGACGGTATCCGATGCTCTCATGCCAGTGAGTCCGGGGGTAGAGGAGGAGAGGCCGCCATGGATATCCTGACCAAAGGAAGACACTTGTTAGGTTGCTGACCTTAGTGGTGCAGCATGACTAGATCGCAAGTCAGGATTGAAATTGAATAGTATCATGCTTTTTACTCAAAGTTAAGTTTAAGATCAGTACGAGGACAATGAGGAGAGTCGAGGAGGCTTGACCACTGTCGCCGCACAGGCCAAACGGCGAGAAGAGAGAAGACAGCGAGAACCAAACGCAATCCTGCCAACTGCTGTCCCCCAGACTTAACTGATACTGACCTTCACTTGACTGCACGCAGGACCATTCCGGGCCCCCCGCCATGTCGCGGCGATGTCGCTGGGGCCGCCGCCGAAGGAATGAGACGCACACCGGAATGCACCCGCGATGATGGCAGCGAAGGACGAGGCCGAGAGGCCAGCCAGCGCTGCCGTTTCCCTGTTCGCCGAGCGATCCCCCAGCGGTCAGCCTTCCACAGAACTTCCGAAAGCGCAAGGCATCATCCAGCAAGAGTCCATCAGTGCTGGCGATGATGGGAAGAAAGGCCTTTGGCGGGACGTGCTGATGCTGATTACTGATTTAAAGTAAAGGACTGATTTCCTCCTGGAACTTCGGAAGGACTACTACACGGTACCACTGAGTAGTCTACACGCCAAGTTCCCGGGCCGGGCGGCCAGGGCCTCGCCGGCCCCGGGTCCGGTCAGTTACTTTTTTTTTGCGATTCCGATGACGGTCCGGGGGATCCGAAGTCAAAACCATGAGAGACGGAAGAGCGAGGGTTTCGAGGCTGGGAGTGAGGCTGATAGGCTTCATGCTGATGAGGGTGATGTGCTGAGTCGCCATCAGGCAGGCTCTGGTAGAGGAAGAGGAGAAGGCTCAGATGAGCAAGGTGGACGCGCAGGCTCAGGAAGATTGCGACGAGTATCATTACGCTGAGTCGTTCCTCAATCGCCTCGTTGCCATTGTGACATCGAATGAGAGATTCTTGAGCTCGTTGTGCTGCCTTGCAATGACTGGTTGCAGTGCAGGAATGTGGAGATTACCCTTGGAAGATGAAGAATGGAGAAGTGTCATGTATCCTCACCCAACAACGACGGCACATTTCATTCTGGCTGATCGAAGTGCTTGCAGGCTTTCAGGAGCATCGTCTCCATACGTGAGCTGGAACGGACAGGATGACTCAGGGTTTTTCTTGATTCAAGACGCCTACCATGAGGTAGACACCTTTCTTTGAGGACTATCTGGTTTCATCTCATTTTCATCTACAGGAACCCGATGGCGATAATTGCTCTAACATGGAGCCGTCAGTTTATGCTGGTGCCTCGTGCAGCACCTCCCTTCCATGTCATAATCTCGGTTCATTGCAGGTCTGGGCTACTTCAGTCCCATGAAGTCGTCCTCTGCTGTACAGCAGCCGGTAACAAGTCTCTCGAACTTGGAAGGTCACAAGGGTTGTGTGAGAGTTTGAGAACAGGTAGGTCTGGAGTCGATAACAGGGAAGAACAGCTTTTGTGGAAGGTGAGGGAATGTAAACGTGTTGTTGCTCCTCTCATGAGAGACGAGAAGAATTGCACAACGATGGACACTACCGCACCAAGAGGATGGCGAGCGAAAACTCCAGGAGCTTGAGCCGCCTTGCCAAGATTTTCCTGTCGGAAAGAAGGTATCTTGCTGTCAGCTTGACTAGGTTGTGAGCATCTGCTTCAAGGCTCTTGTGCTGGAAAGATACGATGAAGAGAGGAATGTTTGGGTCCGGCAGCAGGTATTGAGCTCATCCAGGAGGTGACCCATCCTCTCTGATTCCGATTCCTTCGACATGACATGGTTGGCTCAGGGTCAGAGCCCTGGATAGCTGCATCGAGTGTTGCTATGTATAACAATCAGTGGGTGTGTCAATATAACTTTAAATGGTACTTTGAAAGAAAACGAATCATTCTGCAACCTTCACGGAGCAGCACCAAAGCATTTCAAAGATCCCTTGCAATGTCGAAACGCTTGCCTCTATTCCTCTGTCACCGGATACTATGGCCTGCAAACCGTTCAACTATTTCATCCATCTCAAGATAATCATGCGGCTGACGATCCTTTGCCACAGGGCGACCGGTTGACTTCCGACCGGGCTGGACTTCCGTCTCCTCCACGCTCTCTAGATTTTGAGTCCTACTCCTCACTGACTGTGGTAGCAACAATTCTGCTGGATCAAAGTTGACCTGCACGCTGAGCATGCTGTCTGCGAACTGAAGCTCATTGCAGTCATCGTGTATACCTAGCAGCTTGAATGCTGGGTCGGCATTCACAAACAAATTGTTGACGACAGATCTGCTGGTCTGATCAAGGGAGTCAAGGAGTTTTTGTCGGTTCGTCACGGTATCTATGTCCCCGAGATCATTCAAAGTGCAATATGATCTTGGCCGCCAAGATTGAGCAGCTCTCGTTGAGCCTCTCGCGACTGCATTCAGTTGAAGTCTCTTCACATAATTGATGTCATCCTTATTCTCTTCTCGCAGTGTGTTCAGCATGCTGATCACGTCGGCACATTCGTCAAGAAAGAAATCCCATGTCCTGAGCTTCCGAATGGCTTCCATCTTGAGCTTTGGCATTTTGACGGCATCTCCATGGTTGTGCTTCTTCCTATCTTTCTTTGCGTGCAGCTTCTTTGTCCTTCGAAATGGCAGCTTGCTCAGCACATCGACGCTCCTACTCTTCTCGATCGGTTTTCGTTGCCGGAAATCAGCAGGGCTCCGTTTTACAGTCAAGATATCATATGTTCCAGGACCAGGTGCGTCTGTTTTCTCGACTGGATGGTTCTTCAAGAAGACGTGTCTGGTGTATGAAGCAGGCAGCCATCTCGGAACCTGCCTTCTGTTGGGTGGGTTCACCCTTGCGGACTTGCTTCTGTCAGGGAACATGCCGTCTACGGTATGTTATAGGAGTCAATCAAGGCACTTTTTTGCTTTGTCAAGTTCAAACAGATCCTTGGTCGGTCACATTCAACTCTCACTTCGCACACCTGCCAATAGATGTACACTCCAATGTGCTGCACTTGAAGAGTGTGTATGTTGTCTGTATCCATCAAGCATCGCAGTACGGTCTCTCAGTCCGTTCTTCCGATGACCCCAATCTTTCTCCTCTCAACTCTCTTGCTCTCTCGTTCTTTCTCCTCCTCAGTCCCCCTTCAGTCGCACTCCTCTGGCCCGTTGCACTTCGTCGCAATGCTCAACCGACCTCATAGAGTACCCACCTCAGTGATTTCCTCGTCGTTTCCCTGTGGCGAGGGGGTAGCGGTGGTTAGTCGCTGTTGATAGCCGTTGAGAACTTTGAAACGTTTGAAACTTTGACCAGGTAAAGTTTACCATGTGAAATCTTTGCAAACTTTCGACCAAAACTTCTCATCGGGGAAGCGCCTGCTAGCGATCATCTCTACACCATCATGCCTTGCTGGTGTATGAGCAGGTTGCCAAGGGATACTCACATTATGGCCAGTACCAGCTGAGAGATCAGCTCCACCGCGGGAGGATCTTGGCAGGATGCTACGTGCAGAGGAGGAGCGAGGATCGCTGGCTCTCGTGCTGCTAGAGGCGAGGAATGCTGCCAACGAGGAGAAGATCACGAGGGTTATTCGTGGCGGGAAGCTAGGAGTCGGGCTGGCCTTGATGGATATGCTCTCGTGCTACTGCGAGGCAATGATCGTAATTTTTGTATTCAACACCGTTCTCTCAGACCTGTCCAAGGCCGCTATGCCTAGGAAGACGCCGTGTCCTCTCCATGAAGGGATCATGATTGCTCTTTCATGCTCGTTGCAGCGTGACGTGCTCGTCATTGCGTCGAGCTTCGCCATAGTCGCGGCTGTGACTGTGTACCTGTCATGGCGGTACAGCAGCTTCTTTGGCGTCAGTTTCAGCCACGTGGTCAGATGTCTCTCCAAGTGCGGGAGCGTGTCGATCAGTACCATGGTGATCTGCTTCCTCATGGTCTTGGGCTTCGTCCAGCAGCTGTACATGCAGCGACGGATGCATAGGCAGTTGTTCGGGGTAGACAACTTCGTCGAGGGGGAGCTTGCCTTCTCCTTGCACCGTCTGCTGGAACTTATTGTACTCATGTCTCCTTGTTTTGTTTTGTTGCTGATCTTTCGTTGTCTCTGGTACACCTCTAGCTGTTTGCTCCCCTGCGTGAAGAGGTCATCTTCAGATTCTTTCTGGTGCTTCTTGCAAGGTAAATCTTGATGGAAAGGTTGTAATGGAGGTGATTATGACGGCGATGAGGAGGGGAGGGAGAAGGAGGAGGATCAATATGACGTAATTAGAAGAGCTGCTGATGCTGCTGCTGCTGATGCTGCTGCTGCTGCTGCTGCTGCTGCTGCTGCTGCTGCTGCTGCTGCTGCTGCTCTTCCTCCTCCTCCTCCTCCTCCTCCTCCTCCTCCTCCTCCTCCGATGATGATGATGATGATGATGATGATGATGATGATGACCACCATGATGACCATGATATTCGCGATGATGGTTATGATCATGAGCATCATGACGATGACGATTAACGACAACGATTGTCTTCGGGGATAACGGGTGTGGTACAGGAATCGCTTGTCTCCGAGCACTAGTGTGCTTATTTCCGGGGCATTCTTCGGCGTCATTCACCTCTCCAATGTTTACCATCCAAGATATCGAACCTCGTACGTGATCGTTCAGATCGTCATGTCCTGCCTCATCGGCACTTTCCTTTGCACGTAAGTGGGAGCCTCTGTCCCAGAGAGGGCAGGAGCAGGAGCAGGGAAGGAGCAGGAGCAGGGAAGGAGCAGGAGCAGGGAAGGAGCAGGAGCAGGGAAGGAGCAGGAGCAGAGGGAGGAGGAAGGAGGGAATGTGGTCGAGGAGGATAGAGACGATGAAGATGATCTAGGGCGATGAAGGAACAAAATTCGCATTCAGAGCTATCCTCGTCTTGACGTCCTTGCCTGACACGTTGGGTTGGCAGGAGGTTCCTTGTGAACCATCGACGCAACGGCATACTGGAGCCTCTTATCATCCACGGCCTCAACAATATCCTCTCCGCGGTCTCTAGCTCACTGCGACACTGTCTTCATCCCTTCTCCCTCTCCTCTCCTTTCTCTCCCTCCTCTCTTTTCCCGCCACTCCCTCCTCTTCTCTCCTGTGATTTACTGTAAGAGCTCACCCAAATTGGGGCAGGTCCTGTCAACTTCTCAAGAGATCGATTTCAACGACCTCTTCGTCATCCTCTCCTTCCTGCAGGTTGGTTGCTGTGGAGATGAACTCAGTTTGTAACCCTCGGTTGCAAGACGGTAGTTCTCTTCTCCTTCTTCTTGGGTTTGGACATGGGCAGATTGCGGGGGAGCAAGAGCAAGGACTGAGAGCTTTTGGTCCAAGGATAAGAGCTCAAGATGCAGAGGAATGGAATTGTTTGCTACGATGTCGTTGTCGTGCAAGAATGACAGAAGATGTAATGTTGTTGTCGTTGTTGTACAATCATGAAAGTCTTCAGACACGCACAAGTGTCGCAACTCAGTTTACATAGGACGTTGTGAACCTGCACTTGACAAGCTGCGTCGCAAGTTTTCCTAGGATCTCATGAGTGAGGGACTGGCAGCCGCGGACGTCGAGGCTACTGAGGTTTCTGGCAATCTGAAGCCTCGGGGTCAAGGGAGGGGCAGGGAAAGTTGCGAGCTGACCTGAGAGAGTTTAAGGAGAGAATCATCCGTCATGCGACGGAGGCCGCGGAGGTCGGCGACTTCGAGCTTGAGGGAGGTGTCAGAGGATCAGACAAGCGAAGAGGCCAGGGGGAGGGACGGAGTGGAAGACTGAGACGGAGGAAGAGAAGAGAACGAGGGAGGGAGGATGAAGAGGAACAGGAACAGATGAAGGTGCAAAAGGGTGAAAAGAGATGTTGAGAAGGGAGAAGACTTGTAAAAGCAGGAGCAAGCGGATGCGACAGCATGAGGATCAGGGAGGAGAGTGCGGCAGGAGGGTCACCTGGTTGCAGAACCTGACCATGTCCTTGATGCCGTCGTCTGATAGGTTGCGGCTGTAAGCTACGCTCAAGCGGCTGATCCTCGTGAAGGACGGGGCCATCGCTCTCATGTGAATGTCGAGGACCTGGAGGGAGACGTCAGGAGAGGAGGAGGAGAGGCGAAGAGAAGTCAGGAGGAGGAGGGCAGATAAGGTGTGAGGAGGAGGGACCATGATCAGCCGAGATGCTCAGAGTGAAGAGAGAGAGGAGAAGAGAACGAGTAGGAAGCGAGAGGAGGAGTAAGAGTTGAGATCAGGTGGTGACAGAACTTTCCTGGTGGCATTGCGAGATGTCAAGCTCCCGTAATGACACACATTGAGACATCAGCGCAACCAGCGCGTCTCCTTTCACTCTGCTGCATCCGCCGATATCGAGAGTTTGTAGAGATGTACACCTTGAAAGGAGAGTGAGCGCTCTTGTTCTGATCCCCGTGAGAGCAGGGGGAGAAGAGCAAAGCTGGAGGAGGGAAGGAGCTGGAGCGGGGAAGGGGGTGTCTGAAGCTGAGCGAGTGGAGGAGAGAGGGGAGGTGGGTGAATTCAGGAGAAGGGTTTGAGAGGAAAAGAGACGGAGGAGGAGGAGAACAAGACTTGTTCATCACACCTCCTTGCGAGAGCGAGCACAGCTTCGGTCGAGATGGACTCGCAGGCCTTGAGCTTGAGGTCGAGTAGCTGAGGGCCGCACTGAGCTTCTGCGAGGGAGATGATGGAGAGGTCGGTGAGCTCGAAGCAGCCGGAGAGGTCGAGGGACTTGAGGTTGGGGCAGTGGGAGGAGAGGGTTGTGACAGAGACGTTGGTGATCTGCGCCAGACAGTCAGTCCTGTGAGGAGGAGGAAGGCCACAGGAGGAAGGAGGAGGGGCGGGATTTGAGATGAGAGGGTAGAAGGGATGTGATCAGAGGAGGACAGAAGGCGGAAGCAGAAGTAGAACGAACAGGGAAAGGATGAAAGAATCGAGCAAACGATAAGGAACTGCGAAGAGCATGATCGACATTAAAGGAGGAGGGAGGAGGGAGGAGGGAGGAGGGAGGAGGGAGGAGGGGGGAGGGGGGAGGGGGCAAAACTTCTCACCCTGTGGCACCAGAACAAGTTCACGTGTTCCACCTTGGGGAGCCGGCGAGCAAGTTCGACAAGACCGGCGTCAGAGATTTGCGGACCGACGTCTGCGAAGCACTTCAACACCATGGACCGCACGTTGTAGCTGTGCTTCGAGAGGTTGAGGAGCGTCCAGTCGCTGACGAAGCTGCAGCCCGAGAGGTCGACGCGGAGGAGGGAGGTCCGGTAGCACCTGGTCAGCAGCCGGTGCAGGATCTCGTCGGTGATCCTGTTGCAGATGGGGTCCGGGGAGATGGTGTTCCAGGAGAGGTCGAGCTCTTCCCACAGGAGGCTGGCCTCGCACAGTCTCCGGAAGTACGAGTTGACGGAGGACATAAGCAGCATGCAGGGGATGCGAGGGAGGAAGCAGAGGATATGGAACACGACCCTCTGAGGGACCTGGACGTCTCTCATGCTCACCAGCACCTCCTCCTCCTCCTCCTCGAGCATGGCATCGCTGTGTCTGCTCCTGTGAGTATGCATGCGCGACCTCTGCAGAGATCTCTGCGTCGTCCTTCCCTCCGCCGTCACCCCGCGGTACAAGTCCTGGAAGAGTGAAGGGTCCAAGGTGGGCTGAGGCGCAGCAACGGCTGCGTGCCGCAGGATGCCGGGGAGAGGTCGATCTGCATCAAGACTCGGCGGCAGGAGCTGGGACTGAGTCCCCATCCCTTGCAGGTTCGCTCCTGCTCGCTCCCCGACACTCCTTGTGTGCATGTCCGAGGCCATGACCGACACCCTCGCCTGCTCGTGCGGCCACATGTCGACGTCCGTCTGGTTCAGGATGATGTCCTCTTCCCCCAGCTCGAAGTCCGTCTGCGTCATGTTGCTCTGCATGACGCTCGTCGAGGTCCTGGGAGGAGCCCAGGAGTCTGACGCTATGGAGCCAGGGGCGCTTCCTTGCACGATGGAGTACAGGTTCGTCATCCCCTGCATCAGCTTGTCCAGCTGCGTCAAGATCGTCTCCTGCGACTGCACCGTCATGTCAGGGGCGGTAGTCTGGATGGCTTCTCCTATCATGGATCCGCTCCCCGTCATCCCGACCACCTCAGGGAAGTCTTCTGTCTGCGTCGCTTCACAGGAGGAGGGCTGGGACTTGTTCCGCGACAGCAGGACGCAGGCAACATCCCCGAACACGACCACCTCTCCATGCTCCATCGGATAACGTCGTCCAGGTGTCAGCTCTACTGGCTCCTCCAAGGATCCGAGAAAGGACTTGTTTGTGCTACCAAGGTCCTCAATCTGCACTGTGAAAGTCTTGCTGTCCGTCCTCTCAGCAGACACAACGATGGACGCATGGCGCTTGGAGATGCCGGACCCTTCCAGACACACGTCGCAATCCGAAGCTCTCCCAACGACATTGTTCCCTAGCCGCAGCTGAAAGGTCTCGCTCTTGTTGGGGCCGGACAAGACTCGCAGCTTGGGCGCGTTCGAGGAGGAGAAGCTCTCCCTCATGGCAAGGAGATCGCTACCTCAGCAACGTGTCAGGAGAGAGCAAGCAAAGGAGATATCGTCGAGGCTCCTGCTCATCTTGGAGCTGCAAGCCGCGCCTTCATCCCGCTCCTCGACCTCCCATCCACATGGGGAGCGGTTGATCGGGCCCCGACTCCCCCGGTTTTTCGTCCGGCCGGCCTCAGTGATTAAACTAATGGTCAGTGTGGTTTTACTCCAAGTAGTTAGTCACGCCTTTTACTCAAAGTTAAGTTAAAAATCAGTACGAGGACAATCAGGAGAGCCACTGAGGTGATCCGCCGGATCGGATGATTGGCCGGCCGCTGACTCATTCGGAACTCGGCCCTGAATGCCGCCCCGCCGATCCGATCCGAGGGCCCGGCTGTGCGGCGTTTCGCCGGTGGCCGGGCAGGCTTGAAAAAAAAAAGTTCATCTCCTAGAGGCAGTGTCAACTTCTTGAGCGGTCCGTATGACTGCAGAACCACCCACATGTCATTACAGTCAGTGCCCCGCGTGTACCCACCCTCCCCCTACCCCCCGAAAGCACCGGTACAAAGACTCGAAATGAAGAGATATAACACAAGGAGGCTAGATTGCATCAATGAGTCGTAGCAGCAGAGAAGAACATGCTGCTACCGTTCTAGGGCTCTACCTCACAGCTCATGATGGGTGATCCTGGCATCATCATGCTCCCAGCTGGGCACCCTGTGACCTTCACCTTCTCTTCAAGCCATTCCTTTTGCTCCCTCTTTACTTGCTTCGTCCGTAGCAAGTGCGATGTTCTTCATGCGTTCTTGTTGCCTGCGAAATAGTTGTAGTCTTCTCTGAGTATTCAATGCAAGGTTCCTAATTTGAATCTGCTTCAGTCAGCAAGCGAGACTTTTCATGATTTTGACAAACGATAGCCAAAAATCAGTAGCACAACTCACTCCGAAATTAGCAAGCTTCTAACCGTAAATGTACTTTCTGAGAGAGATTGATTTGTCTAATCTTAGTATCCTCTAAAAATGTCCAAGCAAGGAACTGCATTGCAATTGCTGGACGACACGTGAGTACAAATGTTTGCAACTCTGTGCTTTACTAGCTTCTGAAAAAGATGTGTCCCAGATTCTATGCTTGCTACTGTTGCTGCCATGGGTACGGTTGCACGAAATTCTCTGAACCAAACCTTTGCTCTCAGGAGTTGAAGTTTCTGTGCTACCAATCTCGGAGCACATGCGACTGTGTCGAAGCTTGTGGACCAGAGGGATGTCTCCTGTACGGCTACAAATTTTGTTGCTTGTTCATCCCCTTTCAGTTCCCGCCGAAGCCTTGCTTCATTGAACTCTGTGGAAAGACACTGATGGGGCCAAAGAGGGGTGAGAGGCTCGCTGGTGTTCTGCCAGAAGCTGAAGTCGTCGGTGTAAACGCGAGCAAGTTTGGTTTGGATGGGCACATGGAGGAGATGCGGCAGGAGGCGATCCATGCGATACAGAGCGGCGACTACTTGAAAGCCAAGGAGCTTGCACTGCTTCTAAATGCCTCCGCGGTTTCAAGCATGCCCAACAGCATGTCTTGAGGCGCTCACCCGGCCCAGTGACTTTTACAACTGATGAAAAGTATGTTGAAAGGCGTCATCGAGCCCCGCGGTCACGGTCAACTCAGTGATTCTCGCCCGGCTGGCGCTCTGTCCGGGTCACACTGCAAGTTGCCAGTGGCCGGTAGCCCAGTGCTAGCCGCTGAGCACCTCACAGAGTCCCGGTCAGTTTACTGCTATTTTTCAGTGTTGACTCAAGAGTGCTTCAGTAAACTTGGGCGTTGAACCGTGACTTTTGAAGCGGCGGGCCACCAACCGTTGAACTTCGGGTCACCGGCCATCCTCGGATCGGGGCCGATCGCCGTCGGACACGGTGCCGGGGCCAGGGCACTGGCCGCGCCGCTGTCAACTTGGCACTTGGCAAGCCTGGCCCGGTGCCCGGCGGCCCGGCCCGGCCGCAGCTCCGAGTCCGCCACTGAGCAGTTTGCGTCCGATCGGATGGCCAGAGTGGGCCCCCATCACTCCGGCGCGGGCTCACTGATGTGTTATTAACATCAGTGTAGGGGGTAGTCTTTGGCTCAAATATGGGGTAGTCCGCTGAAAAATGCATCACCGAGTCACTGTAAAACATGGTACTGAAAAAAGCAGGAAAAATAAATCTATCTCAAGAACTCCGCCTCAGGACAGATCATAGTGAGATATCGTCACACATAGGTATTTTAGACTAATTGTTGAAGTCAATGCTTGGGGCAGCAGCTAATGACGGACAGTTTAGTGAAATTGTAGGGGCTGGTGAGATGGGTCTTTACACCACGAGAAGCGGTCGTGGGCAGACGGCAATCGGCGCATAAACATGCAGGCGCATCAGAGCGGGAGAGCGGCCATGTACAGCGACTAGCTTCACTGCCAGCAGGAATGAGATAAGGAGTATTCAAAGAGCATTGTGGCAACAGAATCCTTCATATTCCTTTAGCATCCGCTTCCATTAATCTGGGTTGAGCTAGTGAGGTCTACACAGGACGCTTCTCCTACTTTGCGGCCTGAAGCCAGCTAAGGCCACCTGAACTTGCGTGTCTATCCTGTTCATATTTGATTTGTGCGCGAAGCATGGTGCAGATCTCTTCAGCACAGAGAGTATTGTTCCTGATAGCTGTCTCCTTGGTCTTGATCGTCTCTTGCCGAGCAAACTGCTTCGACTATAAACTAAAACACTTCTCCCAAGCTGAACTTCGGAAGAAGTCAAACATTGAATTGAGACATCTGGCAAACAAAAGGCATATCTCGCAGGCGGAGGATCCGGCAGTGTCAGCCATTTCAGCTCTACACATGTCCGAACTGGAGGAGGAGTGCACCAGGGCTACATACATTCCTAGGAACAAGCTTCAGTTCGCGGAGATCACACTGCTCGTGGATATAGACAAAGCAGCAATCTTTGGAAACGATGGGAATGATCTTGGACTGGCGTTTCAGTGGATGGGCAATTCACGAGAGTCAATGAAGGAGCTCTACCACCGTCTATTGAACCCCCTGCTGATGCAGACCTATGGGTTCCTCAGCAGACAAGCGAAATCCGTCCGAGTGGTCATCTACAGCATGAGAAGCTCGTTCTTCCTGTACGAGTCTGCATTCCGAGAAACAGTCATTCCTCTTCGTTGGGACTTGTCGTGGCACGATGGGGCTCAAATATACCTCCCCCCGAAATGCTTGACTGGGAAAATGATTCTGGACACTTATTCATCTCCAGTTGCTCTTCTTGATGAGGAGAAGCATGATCTTGAAAGTGCTTTCGACCGTCTTCTTATCACAAGGGAGGTCATCCGCGAGGCGCTGATGTTGACATACGTGCCCACGATGGTTCTTTCAGCCAAGAAGAAGAGCGTGTTTCATACGGCGAAGCATCTTGGGGCTAATCTCGACTCAACTTTCTTGTGGGACGACAATCCTTCGCTGTCGAATGATCCCAGGGTGTTCAGCATATCCCCATACAGCGCAATGACGGAAGAGAGCAAGAGTGTACTGACAACGTTTCTCGAGGAGCATCTTCCTCTTGAAAGCCTGGAGCCGTCACTGATAGAATACATGCTGGGTGCTGATGAGCAAGACAGAGTTATAGCGCGCAATGCTGAAACAGGCAAGTTGGAATTCCGAATTCCAACTTTCGATCCAGAGATGTTCAACCCGCGTTTGCGGTTGCCGGAGAAATTTGTGAACCGGTACACTATTGGAGACATGCAGAATGTTCTGCATAACTACCTTCATACGGCGACTTCGTTTGAGCCTGAGTAAGTGAGACTGGTTCATGCGTGTGTAATATTATTGATTCAGAATTGATTTATAATGTGCTTATTTGATACTGTGCAATAATTCACTCGAAGGCGGACAGCCATGAATTCATCGCAAGAATAAATTTAATTAATCTTTGAAACTCTTTGATGGTACCCACATCCTTGTTCTTGGGGTGGCTGATCCATTTCATGATCTTTCACCAAGGTGATCGTTCTAGAGATTCTTTAATTCACTCCGTTACTATCTAGTCTATGACACTCTACACATATTTTACACTCCTTTACCGAATCCTATCTGGTACAACAATCATAGCATTCGAGTTTCACTCTCACCAGCCTTCCCCTTGACTGACTTCTGCCGAGCTGCTAGCATGTTAGCCAGGCAAGCGTTGTTCTTCAGCGACTCAAGAGCTCCGGAGGTTCTTGAGGACGTGTTGGCCGAGGTTACATGCCAGTCCTCTTGGAATCGGATGGAGCGACGAGGAAGGCTGGTCGTCAAAAGCATTGCCTGTTGCTGGAGTGTGATCTGTACCCAAGAGGGTAGAATTTATGGGAGAGCGGGGGAGGCAAAAGAAGACTTTCGCCTAGAATCACACACCGTTTCGGTCACGTGTCCGTCATAGACTTTACTACATGGATAATTCTACTCCGTTCGGTAGCGGACTGTCAGAACACCGGTAGTTTTCTCGTAATTCGGAGGGATTTAGCTGGGTGCTATCGGTGTCTGCTGACAGCCAGGAGATATCGGGAACAAGAATACAATACTTTTAGCGGGAGGTGAACCTTCTCGTGACGGATACAGCAAAACATAGTGTTTTATCCTCTCTCCCGTAGGTGATGACGCTCGGAGTTTCGAAATACCGTGACTGCTGACGGCAGGAACAGTCAAACACACCGCGCGGAAATCGAAAATTCCAAAAAATTGAAATCGGATTCAAAGTGCAGTCTAACTCTTTTGATTTCATTCCGAAAATTCCATTTCTGTCCTAATTTACTACCACTCCCCTTGTATGGGGCCCTATATCTATTCCGACTCGGGAGCATCCGCACCAACGAGCTCATCATGGCATCCTCTACCATGTCCCTCAAGGCTACCTGCCTGAAGCCCAATGCTCTCAAGTCCAGCCGCACCATCCGCTTCATCGAGGACTGGAACATCGACAATGCCAAGGGAAAACGGATAGCATGCGAGTCCAAGATCTCCAAGAATGGCGAAATGTGCCTCAGTAACCTGTTGGCTGCCCGAAGCAAGGTTTGCAACGCGAAACTTCAAGGAAAAGAGCAGGACAAGCAGTCATGAAGGCTTGAAGTGTATTGGGACTATCGATTTGTCATATTGAGAGAGAGAAACGAATTGTACAGTAGTTTGTTGATTATGTATATACAACCAGATGTGAATAAAGATATGTGGACTTACAACTTGAATCCTTTTGTTCAATGATCTATCATTTTCTTCTTTGTGCATGGCATACTTGAGAGCATCATTGCATTTCTTTACATAATTCGGGTTTATCATGTAGTTGTGTACAATACTTGATCAGCTGGACAGGTTACCTAACCGATGATCCAGCGTCTAATTCTTGGTTGTCCTGTCAAAGTGAAATTATTGAGAATGCCATTGCTTTGCAACTTACGGCGTGGATTTAATTTGACCAATCCTATTTCTTGATGCAGCAAACTTCATCGAGATATGGGTCTGATGATGATGTGCTTGGGATGGCAATTACAGGATTTACTGAAGCGGGTTTATGGATTCATTCCCAATCTTGACTTTTAACTAGCTTATCTAAGTTGTGTCCGAACTTCTACCACGTTCATTGAGCGCAGCTCAAAGTTGTTGAGGTTTCCGTCAGTTCACTTTTATCACACAAGTTAGCACGTTGATACAACAGTTCTTTCCCCGAACCGCCTCAGAAGATTTGATGTTTCTGAAACTTGAAATCTTCTTTTCAAATATTCGGACAAAATTTGTAGATGAGCACGAATGGTTAGATTTCGGCAAATGCTGGAGTGGAATGCCCAAAAGGGACATCGGAGGGAGCATGAACAAGATGGCGGTAGAGAAGATGGAAAGCTAGGAAAGGATGTACTGAAGGAGTGAGCAGGGGAAGGAGAAAGCACAGCAAAATCCTTGTTAGAATGCAGCATCTTCTCTCATAGGGGACTAGAGCATTGTCGAGGAAGAACATGAAAATGAAAAGCAGCGACGATCATATCGTGACTAAATTGAGAATCAATGCCTTCTATAGTAGTAGCATTTTTTTCTTTTCCAGGATCAGATGGTTCATGTGCATTCTTGTGGTTGGATCTGATCCATGTTTCCCACAGATGCATCAGGGTGAGGATGCGGCGGCTAGCGACGTGGTGAAGGCAGAACCGGACACAGGGTCGCCCTCTGCCGCCGCCCCTGCCTCCTCACTTCCTGATGCCTCTACACCCATAGATCCGTATGCTATCCTCTCGGAAATCCTTGCGGAAGGAGAAGAAGTTGCGCCATTGCAGAAGCCTCCGGCGGTGACAACGACCTATCAATCGCAGAAAGAAAAAAAATTCCTCAAGACGAAACACAAGCAGCTCCAGAAGAGTGTGAAACAACTGGGAAGCCGATTGACTCAAGCAAAGCAAGAGCTGAAGAAAGCTAAGATGGAGATAGCCTTCCTCGAGGCAAAGCGACGGAGTCTCCTGGCCAATGGTAAATGAAAGAAACAGCAGCACAGTGTGCAAGACAGGTTTGTCGGATCTCTGCTTCTTGAATAATTGACCTTTGCCTTACTTTGTGACGAATTCCCCATTTTACTCTAATTCATTTGTGCTTGTTCGACCCAAGAAATTCTTTGCGATGACGTTACGAATCTTTCTCATTCTCACGCTCCATATCAACATCTTGATCCATCATAGACAGCTCGATAGCTCGACGGAGCTGCTCTTCTTCGCTGTTTTCTTCCATCTTCTCATCGGCATTTGCGTGTGGTTCGGCAGCAGCAGTAGAGTTGGTTGCTGCAGTAACAGCAGCTGGTGTGGAGGGTGCCTCTACTTGCTTGGCAGCTTCCGCTTCCTTCGACGCAGCCGCCGCTGATCGAGCCAGAGCTTCTCGCTCACGGCGAGCTTGAGTCTCGCGGCGTGTCGTCTCTTCCTGTTCCAGTGGTCTCAGTGATCCAATGACGTCATGCAAGGAATCTTCACCTCTGCCGACATCTTGAGTGCCATAGCGAGCTCCGGGTCGAGCTGCGGATTGATGCCACCGTACTCCGCAAAGTCCGGGGCGGCTGGACTCGCCCCCTGCTGATTTGGAGCCTGAGGAGCACTCGCCTCTGTTAGGATCGGAGAGGTGAAGAGAACATCCGAGAGCCCTCCTACAGTGAAGTCACAGCAGATCGGAAAATGCTCTGGGGAACTTACCGGGCGGGCACTGCTCAGGAGGCATCGATAGCAAGTGGCTGTTTCCGTCTCTGTTGACGGCGTTCAAGAACGCCTGCAGAAGTCTCATCACTCAGATCTTAACTTGTTGCACACACCGTTAGGACAGGTGTGTTATGCCGGGGGGAGTCCCCGAAGCTGATGATGTCGATGGCGACGTTGTTCTTACGAAGCTTCTTGCCGAATTTGATCAGATCTTGTTGATCCTGGATTTCTAGAGGGCCCGCAACGAAGGCCACGATCCTGCAAACTTGATGAGACGCATACAATCATGTGAGAAATCAACCTGGGTCTTTGATTCTTGTTCATGCGATGCTTCAGGCTTGCCCAAGCTATCTTCATCGACTCCTCAAAGCGCATTTCGTAACTTTGTGAGAATCAGTGACTTAAGAGGGGTTCCAGCCTTGAGAAACACCTCAGATCGTTCCCTAGTTTTTCAAGAAGATGCTGGATCAGATCTCCATCCTGCATATGGGTGAGCTTCGCTGTGCTGGTGGATGGGACAGGAAATGCCTGGTTCATCGCTGGAGCGATGTGCACACAAGGATATTCGTTTGGTAAGCACGCCATCGTCATCAATCCGATCGTATTCTCTGGGTTCTGCATTCATATCACATCTTCATCTGGAGTTTCAAACATGATCCAGTCAAAGAGTCACCTGCGTCTTCACATTGCAGATCAGATTGACACATTCTTGCTGACACTGGAAGCGATTTGGCCGATGGTCACCATTGATCATATGCATCGAGTTGTCTACGCTGAGAAGAGGCATTCAAGAATAGCAGGATATCAGGAGGGATGTTACGCTATAATTGTTGCCTCCAGCGGTACTGATCCTCCACTATGGAGCAGGCAACACAACAACATCAGCAGGGTTGCCCGCATTAGCCTTCCTCCCCCTGCAGAATTCTGCCCCAGAAATGACGGACAGTAGGTTGCAGCATGCATGTTTCACCTTGATTGTATTCGTGCTCAACATACCGCTGAGAATGGTTTCGACCAGTGACGTTCGTTGTTCAGACGCTACGTAGGGGTGAGCTACAGGAGTACAAAGTGCGAGCAAGCAGAAGCAGCAGTCAAGAAGATCGTGAAGAAAGAAGGGGAGGCCAGCATCTTTTTTTTCAGCATCAAGTCGCATGTGCAGCGCATTAACCTCATCTCTTCGCATGTCTCGCCATGTAGAGCTTGCCCCCTGCTATGCTGTGCAATCCGACCATGGTACGGGAAGCCTCCAAATGAACTTGAATCTTATCCTAGCAAACTCCAAAAAGTATTGACAGATTTCAAAATAGTTTGAATATCACAACTGGAGGGTAGGGGAGTTCGTTTTGTATTAAATACCGGTCTTTTAACTGTAATTTGTAGGGGTGTTTCACAGCATGGGTTTGGATAGACAAAAGGGTAGGGTGTTGCTCTAGAGGGGCTACGCGGGAAATGGTTGAAGTGGAAGCCGTCGGGCAAGAGGGAGGCAGAATGGAGGTGGAGGGGAGCGAAGAGAAAGAGCCGATCAGCACAGGGAGCTATGCAAGACTTGATGAATATGGTGGAACTCAGGCAGAGAAGGACCAGGCGGAAGAAGTTGACGCCGAAGCTGATAAGGATGAAGGCGAACGGGGCGGCGACGGGGAAAATCAGGGGACCGAAGAGCAAGAGGTCAATTTCCCCTACGCGAGAATCAAAAGAATCATGAGGAAAAATCCTGACAAGAAGAAGAATTACAGCAGAGAAACCATCCATGCGATGACTGTTTGCACAGTAAGTAAAAGATTCTCCCGTAGTTGGTCTCTGAAAGCATTTTGAAAGGAATTGTTCCTGGTCGAAATTTCCAAGCAAGCGCACAGCTTGACTATGGATAGGAAGCGTAAGACAATGCAGTTGCAGGACATTGGTGAGAAGATCTAGAAGATATCAAAGTGTTCTGGCTGACGTAACTCACAGGTGACTGCATCAAGTCAATCCCTCGTTTCGAGTTTCTGGACGGGCCTGGCATCCTACCTGAGATGTCTCAGAAGAAGATGAAGACCGACAAGGCTCAACAGGCAGCGAATCAGGGAGGCAACCAGGAAGCCAACCAGGGAACAGCTCAGGAGGGAGCGAGCCAGGAGGGCAAGCAAGCAGCAACCCAAGAGGCGAGTGCCGTGAGTGAATCAGCAACGGGCGGCGAGGGAGCAGGGAATGCTATTCAGTCCAATCAGATGCAGGCAGCGAGTGATGCCAACCCAAGTGCTTCGGAGACAGGCAAGGAGCAACCGCAACCTGCTGTCCAGAAGGAGCCTGAGAGCTCCAACGCTGCTGATACTGAGAGTGGCGACAAGAAAGCAGCTGCCGATCAGCCTCGCTCGAATGATGCTCAGATGGATGCAAGCAGATCAGAACCAGAGGCCCTTCAAGAGAAAACAGCAGAGATAGAGAGCCAAAACAGCGGAACCCAACAAGAGAAGGCAGTTGAGGAATCGAATCAATGAGAACCAACGTTTCTTGGTGAATTCATTGAGAACTGAAAGGTAACAACAAAAAAGCGCATAAAAATCAATAGCAAAACAATCAAGCAGCTTGCATGATCACAGCACTTGAACTCTCCATCTCCCCACTTGCCACGATAGCCCACCCATCGTTACGCCACTCGAACATTGCCACTTCCAGCCTCGGTCCGAATAGTTTGTCACTGGATGGGTTGTCGATAAGTGTTTGAAACATCTCTCTCATGTCATCCGCGTACTCATCCTTCTCAACCTCTGGAGACGTCGAGGTGCAACGGAGCAAAGAAGCATCGTCCAACTCCACGTACTTCCTGTACCTCTGTACTGCATGGCTCGACAAGCTGAATGGCCAGGGCTCGAACCTGAACCGTCTACGCTCAAAGTCGTACACGTCCGAGTTGGGAGCTGATAACATACACCTCATCCGCCTCTCGACATACTTGGGCCCGTGATCAACAAAGTCTGCAGGGAAGATCTTGCGAGTCACAGGATTCATGCAAGCACCCGTGATCCTTGGGGCTGGGATCGCTACACCATTCACCACCTTCTCCTGTGTGTTCACCGCGTCCACAAACGCGAGGACGAGATTGAAGGTTGCCCGGCATTGCTCGAAGAAGGACAGAGCGGCGCTGAGGACATTCTTGGAGTGATATGACGGCTCTGCATAGGAGCCCACCATGTACAGGTCCGCTTCACTGTCAACAAACCTGATGCCCTTCTGAAGATAATCCTCGTCGCCACAAGTGCCATCATCTAGATGCAGCACTGAAACCCCGTAGTTGCAGACTACAAACACGATGAGGCACGTCGTGGCGTCACATGACCCGATCAGCATTTCGTCATCCGAGCATGCCGCTGCGCTTTCGGACTGGAGGATGCACACGCTCTTCTGATCCTTCCCTACTCGTTTCACCTCCTGAGCGCTGAACTCCTGAGCTGACCTACGAGCTCAGCGTGAGTGCGAGTGGCGTGGGAGAGGACCAAGGGAGGAAGGGGAGCGGATACACGGGCGAGGATACAAAGGTGAGGAGACAAAGGTGAGGAGGAGGAGGAGGAGGAGGAGGAGGAGGAGGAGGAGGAGGAGGAGGAGGAGAGATCGATTGAAAACATCGAAATCACCTCATCAGACACGGAGTTGTAAGGATCTTCTTCATGATCGGGCCTCCCAGGGCCTCCCCCCCCACCATGATCGTCATCGTCGGTGCTTCAACGCCCCCAGGAGCCTCAATGAAAATCAATTACATACGCGAAATTTCGAGCCCGCATCAGTGTCTCAATTCAAGAAATACAAAAGCAGCAACGACTTCATTAGTTTTATATTCACTGTCCTGCTTTTTTGGTTGGCGGGCCATGCCCTGTGTGTGAGCCACAGTCCGCCCGCTCGATGGGGGTGAGGCCGCCAGGCTCCTCAGCAACGAGAGCATGTCGAGATGAGCAGCTTAACGCCGAAGATGATTGCAGCATGGACTGCTCCTCCTCGGGGAGGAAGGGATCGGGCCGCAGGGATTGGAAGGAAGGACTTTCGTCCCTTGAACTTCTTGGGACGTTTGGGTGTTCACTGGAGGAGAAGGAGATTGTTCGGGATGATGTCGTGGAGGAGTGAGAGGAGTTTGAGACGTTGACCATGGTGTCCTCGCGGAAGACAAGGAGCGGGTTGGTTGTTTGCATCATCGCAGTCATGAGCTTCGAAGCTGCGGTCTGCAACACACCAGGTTAATCAGGGGCAGCACGAGCATGCTGACTGATGAGGCGACAGATGAAATGGGAGAAGACAAGCAGTGCTTCGCCATCATTCACCCACCTCAAGGTAGTCCCTGTAGACATCGCGCCATGTTCGGTTCGCTGATGGACGACGTTCAGCGCACATGATGGATGTTGAGGATCATCAACAACTGCCTTGCTTGCTGCGGGTGAAGCTTCCTGCCGCCCTGCTGCATGCCCATGACAATTCCTCGAAAGATAAACTGCCAGGGATACGGAAAGGCGAGAAGGCTGGGACTGGTCAATGGCGACACGTGAATTCAGGACGAGACTGTGTGCACAGCACTGACAGGCGTTGCAGGACAACGTGGGTGAGTGCAGAGATCGAGCCGGGACCGGACGTGGAGATGGCGATGATCGAACTGACGATCAATCAGGTGAGGGAGGAGTCCCAGCATATCGAGGTGACGGATGTCTGACCGCTGCAGATCTATCGCGGTCGGCCTTCACTGGAGTTCGTGCTGACAAGGAGCAGCAACCAATCTCTCAGCGAGAAGGATGCGAACTTTGAGGTTTCTGAGTTTGCTTCTGTTGACATCAAGTCGGGTCGTCTCTTCCACCCAACTCTTGAGGTTGCTCAGCCTGTTTGTCTTCACCTCGTCCCCTCCCAACCTCCACCGTCCTCCATCCTGCCTCTCACAACCCTGACATCTTGCGACGAGCAGGTGATCTTCCCTCCGCAAGACTTCGTCTTCAAACAGGGAGTGACTCCTCTTGTCATCACAACCGTGGAGGAGGACGAGGTCGATCGTTCGTTTGCCATCCAGCCCCTTCCCCCTTCCCCCCTTCCCACTTCCCCCATCGTCCTCCCTGACGCTGAGCACAGGAGGGCAACCGGGTCTCAGGTCCAGTCAATCTCATTGCAACTCGAGCTTGTCCCATGTTTGATCGCCCGGCAGCTATCGAGGGCTCCATCTTTCCTGGTCGTCTGCGCATGATAATCAAGAGAGTTGGCCATGATCCCGGTAGTGCAGCAGATGCACGTGGGAGGAGGAAGAGCTGTAACGAGGCACAGCACAGGGACTCTGCGATGATCCCTACCATGAAAGTGTGGGAGAGGTCTGGTATCAGGGTTGCTCGTCGCACAAGCTCTGCGATCTCCCAGACTTGGTGAGAGGAATAAGAACGATCCTGCTGATCTGACACGTAGAGTAGCCAGACGGCGATTTCCTGCTGCAGATATACCTCGCAGACGCTCATGGCGAGATCTATGCACATGAAGAGCGGGTTGAACATGCCGCCACTTGCGTCTGCCATGACGTGGGGCTGATGGTGTTTGCAGCGAATCAAGGTGGACACGAGCGATGTGTATCAGAGTGAAAGATCATCGAGTGACGCCTCGTCGTGTGTTGTGCGGCAAGGCAGGCAGGAGGGGTGCGGGAACAAAAGTGAAGGCGATGGGGAGTGCTCTAGCAACGGGGCATGTGTCGTGCTCGGAGGAGATCACAACCGTGGGGGAGGCTTCTACTGCCTCTGCTCTCCCTCGTACTTTGGAAAGTTTTGTGAACATGTTCGTGTCTCCCTTTCAGGCCAGTTGTTGGACTCGTTGAAGTTTTGTCAGGACATCTACTCGACATCTGAGTACTTGCCTTCATCTCACCCCGAGGCTGACGAATCGACTTGCCCCAAAGTGATCACCGTTCTATTCTCCTCCCGCCCCACTGTGTTGTGATGTTGGAAACAGGCAGAGATGCTGCTCGATCAGTCGGAAGAGCTCTGGAATGAGATTGTTGAGAACCAGGTGAAATGCTTCCGCTGTTATTTGAATTGTTTGTGTGACATTTCAACGCTGAATCGCATTTGGATTTATTCCTTGAACGATCAGAAGTCAGGTGACTGCAGGGTTGCAAGTCGCTGCCTCTGATCTCCATTACCTAGGTGGGAAGACCTACATCGAGTTCACGTATGACAACACGAGCGCTCTTGCTGTGATGTTCCTGTCGCCCTCGTTTCTTGTCGTGAGCCAACGCAGATCACGGCTCGCACTTTCTTCCTTGCCGTCGCTACATCGCTGAAGAGGTTGCTGGAACTTGCCGATCTGCGTCAAGTTGAGATCTGCAAGCAGAAAGCAGCCGCTTGCGCTGAGCAGCGATTGGAGTTACCTGGACTTCGCTCCATGCAACAAGAGACACCTCTCTACCAAGGATTCATCCCCCCACAGCTCGAGCGGAAACCTCGCATGTTACTTCCAGCCTTTTGATCTCTTCGCCCTCCCTCGCCCTCTCGTGAGCAACGATACCTTGCGCAGGAAGGAGCAGAAGACCGAGGAGCCGTGAGCTTGTGAAGATTTGAGTTCGTTGCTTCTCACGCTGTTCCAGTGCCTGGTTTGCCAACTGCTGCATCAACCTTCCTGTCACGAATGCGCTCTCCGTCATCCCCGCGCATTACAGGGAGAGAGGACAGTTCTGGTGGATGTCCACTGTGAGTCTTAGTTCTGCACCTCCTCCTCTTCTCGTCCTACTGCCATGTGATCCGTCCCGAAGATGGCTGGCCTGCTACTCAAAGAGAACCCGCACCTGAGCAACTTGATCAAGAGAGCGAAACTAGCGTCGTCCTTCCGTCAACCGTGTATCGGTCCTCCTCCCGCTGTATCACCTTGCTGTGGTCGCTAACTTACTCCTCAGGAGTTCACATGCGGTTTGGGGATGCTTGCTATCACGAGCCGGTAGGACTGGAATGCTTGTCCTCCTCTCATTATCTTCCTTCTTATCCTCTGCTTAACTTTCATCTTGCTCCTCGCCTCGTCGCCCTTGCCTCCCTTGTAGTTTGATTCCTCCAGCTCACAACAGGCGTCTTACCACAGGAATTCATGAAAGTCGGAGGCGCGACATCGCAACGACGATGCTACGAGACGGCAGCATACATGCGAGGTGAAGGGAACATGCAAGGGAAACAAACCGATGTTGATGTCTCAGGGATCGCTCGCCTTCAAGCAGCATTCAACATCGACCATGTACTATCTCGACCCCCTGACTTGATCTGACGCCGAACAGGTCTACATCGCTACCAACAACGAGAGGTGAAGCACTTCCTACACCCCCTCCCTTACCTTCTTGTTTCGCATCCAGCGCGGTCAGAGATCTTGTCCGGTCAAACTCTACAATCAAATGGAGTTTCCTCAGCAGCGTCGACAGGTCTCCTTAGTTCTTAACTTGTCGAGCTGTCCACCGTCTAACCCTGCTCAGGTCCCAGCTGGTCAAGGAGGGCAAGAAGGAGTTTGTCATGCCCCACATGCTCGTTACGCGGCTGGGCTTGCTGGATCGCAAGGTGTCAGCTGAGAGCGCCATACTGGACCTGATGCTCCTCAGGCGAGCAGCGACTACCTCTCGTCCAGTACCCGTCCTTGACCCCCCCCCTCCTTCCTAACCCTCCCCTGCTCTCTGCCTCTCCCTTCTCCTAACCCCACCCCCTCTCCTTCTTGCCACTCTCCTTCTTCCTCGCCCCTTGAGGTTTCCCCGCCTTTCCTTCTCACTGCCCTCCCGTCCTTGTCATGTTCCTCTCTCACTCCCACCACGTCAGGGAGTGCAAGGCGTTCGTTGGCCAGTTCTCTAGTGCCTTCTCGGTGAGCCTGAGCTACCGTGACGGGTAACGCTCGGTCCGGCGAGTGATGCATCTGTCTTCGCAGGTCCTTGCCTTCGAGCTCATGGTCGCCTATCACGCATATGTCGGCTCACAGCATGAGAGTTGCTGGCTGGTCGTCTGATCCTTCGCCCCAGGTTCCACCGTTCGTCTCTGTCGACGGGCCTCTTGCTCAAGCATACACAGCTGACCGGGAAGAGTACGAGCAGTGGCTGTGACCGTCCGAATCATTGAGTCAGATGAGTCGGGAGTCACGGCTACTAGTGACTTGTACCAACTTCTACATACGTTACTAAAAGTTATAGTACCATGATACCTGCCAACTCACTTCGTGACCCCGGGCAGTGACTGAGTCACGAGACACACGGCGGGACGGTCCGACAACCTTGAACTGCAGCATCAAGGCCGGTGTCGGACTGCGGCATACATGATAGTAGTTGTGATTCCACCGTCACCCGTGCCAGTGTACTACCAGCCTGAGGTTTACTCACTGAAGTTAAGTTAAAAATCAGTACGAGGACAATCAGGAGAGTCGAGGAGGCTTGACCCTGAGACTGTCGCACAGGCCAAACGGCGAGAAGAGAAAAGACAGCGAGAACCAAACCTAAACCTGCCCGGTCTTTACTCAAAGTTAAGCCCGGTGATGGCTCGCCGGGATCCGAGATCGGACCGGCGACTGACTCGCGGCTTGGCACTGACTCGCCTCAGACGGCGGCGGCCCGCCGGGTGGCACGGCGCCAACAAACGTACCGTAGTGCCGTGGTGCTGTTCTAGGATCGTTCTACGACGCTCCAAGTCTATACAGCTACTAGGACCTGGTGCTAGTAGCTGGCATCACAATAGAACAATGACTAACTAGGGCTAGGAGATAAGAAATTGGCCCTAGGAAGCCTACGCAAACCGCTATTTGCGGTATCGCTAACCACCGCAGCATGTTCTCGGTGAGTCGGGAGGATGCGAGCGGCGCGATGAGAATGGAAGGAGGAAGGAGCGAGATAGCATGTGCAATCTTGTCTGCTGTTGCCTGTTTGATTGCAAGCCTTTTATGTTTCACGTTAGAGTTGACGATCATAACATGAAGTCCATGACTTGCATTTCACGTGATTTGTGGGAGCGACGTGGTACGCGATTGATTGCGATCAGGGTCGTTCTATCTTGACTTGTCGCTGATCTTTCAACCTGCAGGTTCTCTCTCACTACGTTGCCACCAAGGTCTTCAACCCTGTTGACCAGACCCCCATGTCTTCTTACCAGCAGGCCACCGTGGCCGCCAACGAGGCTAGCGGATCTGCCAAGATGGTCAACAGCGAGGACATGTAAGGAAAAACTCAGCAATAAATGTCGCTAAGAGACGTGATGACCGTACGTCAGCTTATTATGTGCACATGAGCGCAGTATCAACGGTGCGCGAGGTGGTGAAAGACTTGTGAGATTCATTTACAAGACAGTTATGAGAAGATCATTCCTGATTTTTGCTGGGCCATCTTCACATTACCGAGACATTTGGATACCTGTAAAGAGGTCACCAGAGTACCGACAAAACCGCGTTGGCACATTACATTGGTGTGCTCTCTCCCCCATACGGCAATCAGGTGCTTCATCTGCTGTTCCCACAGCCTTGCCGCGGTTGCCCAGCATCTCTTGCCTAAAAACAAGTTGTCAGCTCATGTCGTCAGTTTGACACGCTGATGCGTTCTCTCACCTGCATCAACATCTTGACGAGACTCTGCTCTTCTTGCAGAGTGAACATATACAACAGCGGCAGCTCCGAGGAGCTCGCTGAACTCCGATGACAGTTCTTCCTTGTGCAGGTTTCCTCCGAACCTGTCAAAGAGACTGAGAAGCTGGATGAATCATCTGTTAGTAAGGGGGTACGCTCTCTGTCCCGCATCAATAGCTTCCATGACGCTGGACTCGGGCTGATCGCCCACTGAGAAACTATGACTGCAATGCGCTATGCTGCTAAAATGTCAAGAGGGCGGTAGCAATGAGACTGTCCACATACGCTTCCTCGCGCTTCTGAAACCAGGCGCGATGGAGCAACTGGCTGTCCCTGAGGTCTTTGATCCTCGATCGCATCTACACGTACCCAACGCAAGTCAGGTTGGTCATGGTAGCAGCGGGGCGCGAAGACCTCCAACAGGTTCAAGCCTCTGCTCAGCTTGTTCTGCTCTAACTCTCTCGTCAACCGATCGCTCTCTTGCTTGAGTTGGAGGCTGTCTCCCTCAGGTTTCCCTTGATCCCAGCTGACACATGCGGTCACGGGAAAAGGAGGAGGGGCAATACAGCAGGAGCATGCACGCACTTCTCGATGATTTTCTCCTCCTCCTTCTTGAACTCCTGCAATCAGACGGCAGATTAAAATCCCATCAAATGTTCACCTGCTGTTACCTCAAGTTCACGCCGAATGCGATTCTGCAGCGCCGACCTCTCCTCGCGCTTCATCTGCGAGTAGTATGAACTCTGACCAGCCAAGGAGAGCAGGAGAGCATCCGAGGCTTCAGAGGGCTCTGTACGGGCTCTAGAGTGACGCACCTGGCCAGGTCTGCGAGATCCGATGGCTTCCATGAGCTCGGAAACCTTGGAGTTCTTCTTCCAGAAGAAGCCCAGCACTCGCCTCATTTCGAGGGTGTTGGGAGCCTGGATGGAGGGATGGAGTCACAAGGGTGAGATCGCTCGACACGCTCGTCTTCTGACCTCTTGACACAAGGATTTCAGCCTCGCGACGTCACTCTCCGACAGCACAAACTCTGAAACCCACCCCCCGATATCTTCCACGTCAACGTCTGAAGAATCCTCTGCATGACACGAGTTCGAGGAGCAACCAACTCAGACGAGGAGCTCGCAAGGAAGCACATGTGCTCATTCATACCTTGCTCCGAGTTCCCTTCCTTTCCGCAAAGATCTCTCCATGCATTGGCGACAAAGTCAACGCATTCGAGGGGGACCCTGCTGCTCCTCAGGGACGCGTCGATGACGCTGGAGTGTGAGGGAAGAGCCGCGCTGGCTGGGTGCAACGGATGAAGATGATGATGAAGAGGAGGAGGAGGAAGATCGCCGCTGGTTAAGCCCATGCTCAGTCCCCATCGCCTCGACGGCGCCGGTACTGCTCGCTGGGCTGCCATGTAAGAGGTATGAGCTCTGTATGACGGTCTGTATGAGCTCTGCTGTATGACTGACTGTATGAGGGGCAGGAAGATTGGGCTATGAGGTATAGGCTCCTCTGCCCGAAAAAGATTCGCCCCCCAGCGAGTTCTTGCCTGACCATGCAAGGGAAGGGGAAGCGACGAGGACGAGGACGAGGACGAGGACGAGGACGAGGACGAGGACGAGGCAGAGACGAAAGGAAAGATGATGGGAAGGAGAAGTTGAGAGCAAGCGAGTCGCTCCACAATGAAGAATGCATAAAATCTGCAGGAGAAAGATGCCAAGTGGTGAAGCTAGAATGATGAAGTTCGATAGTGGGAACGAGGTTCGAATCGTCTAGGGACTAGGAATCGCCATCATCATAGTGTCACCTGGCCCTTTCCGTCTTGTCTCTTGCTGCCGAAGTGAAACTGACGCTTGTTGTCACAGCATGACGTTCGCGGTTGTGAGGCAGTATGTGGAGCTTATGGAAAGCGCAAAGTCAACCTGGTTCCTCCTGCATGCCGACACTTGTCCTGTGCTCATTCTGTCACAGGTGCGGCGAGCAGGACTGCAGCATTTACGAGTGGAGGCTCTTCACTAACACCATCAACACCTGGTGATGTAGGAGGGGATGAGGGAGGGGAGGGAGGAGATACGGAAGACAAGAGGGAGGGGAGGGGAAAGAAAAGGAGAGAGGATAGGGAGAAAGGGGTAGGAGCAGTCGAGGAGAACTTGGAGATGGACTCATCTAAAGTTGAGACTACATGCCTTCAAACGCCTTTGTGTGACTGTCTCATGGTACAGGGCTGAACCCCGCAATGCCGAGGGGGTGAAGGTCAACGGTGGCCCTCCTCCACCACCTGGAAGCGTCTGATGGGTGTCGACTCTGAAGCGCAAACCAACTGCCATAATACATGATGTGATAGTTGTCATGTGATAGATGTCGTGTGATAAATGTCATTTGATAATTGTCAGGTGATAGTTGTCATGTGATAGTTGTTATCTGAAAGTTGTCATTTGATAGCTTTCATTTGATAGCTGTCGTGTGATAGTTGTCATGTGATGGTTGTCATGTGATGGTTGTCATGTGATAGTTGTCATGTGATAGTTGTCATGTGATTATTATGTAATAGATGGCAAGCTAGATGGTCTCCTCTTTGCCGTGAAGTTGTGCCCTGTCTGTTCTCTGTAGCTCTTCTGCAGCTCTGCCAGGTACTCCGAGGTGTCTTCTTTCGACCATGACGACTCGGAAGACTCGTCAGAAACCTTGCCTGACAGGTGGCGCTGGAGGGTCTGCATTCCTAGTCAGAGCAGGCAACATTGGGAAGCAAAGAAGCGGCAACTTGCCTCCACGAAATTGTTGTAGTACGTCTGCACATCAGGCACAGTCATCTCTCGGCAGAGCAAACATAGCGCTTCACCTTAGCTGCCCGATCTCCGGGTAGAAAGTCTTTCTCTCCTCTATGCCACCGCCAGATGTACCTGCTCACCTTGTCAACCTCCTCCGTCCCTTGGACTGTCGTCTCCTCCTCCCCATATCTCTTCACTTCCGTTCGCCTATCTCACCGTGGCTCGTATTTGTCGGGCCACGTGCTCTTGTCGGGGCTCGGACCGAACACCCACTGTCCCCTAATCAAGAGAGTCAGCACCGATCAGCTTTGAAAGCTGAGACAGGGATCTTTGTGCAAGCACGGAACCAGCCTGCTCGCAAACAGAGTCTGTTCCGGGTCCATCGCACTGAACAGCCCCAACACAGCTCTCGAGTGTCACAGTACCTCTCGTGAGGGACGAAGGGCGGCATGGTCTTCTGCAGAACGCCCACCTTGAGACGGCCATAGAGCTCGAAGCCCTGCAAGAGCATCTAAACTCCCACGCCATCATGACCAACGGTCCAGCACCTGGATGTACATCTTGTTCAGCACCTCCGACGTACCCCCATGATGCGTATGCCGTGCATGGGTGAGCTGCCGCAGCCTGAAGAACCTGCGGAAGTTTTCCTTAGCCCCTTCTCCCTGCTCCTTCGCGTGCTGCAACCTGTACGACCTCTTGCACTCCAGGGGGAAGCTCAAGGTGTGATGCGGCATCTCACCGATGGGGGTCGGCGACCAAGTGAATTGACTGGGAGACGGAGTAAGAGGACAAGGCGCATACAAGGGGAAGATAACAGCTGCGGGTGAATAGCAGGCTCGTATTGCTTTATCCGGTTGTTCCACTTCATCGGCATCTTGGTGAAGTTGTAGAAACTGCGAGGGCGAGTCAGCCAAACGAAGTGCCTTAACGAGCAGCCGTTGACCCAGGAGATGACCCGTCGTCGATCAGATCATAGAAGCTAGTGTCGTTGACATGCTTGTCGATGATCTGAAAATTTCTTACCCCTCTACACTGTAAGAAATAGCTCCTCACCGTCCAATCTCCTTCTCTCCACCATTTCCCCTTCACCCACGTCGCGGCCTCCAACACCTGTCCACGTGCGTTGAACCCACCGTCTTCACGTACAGCACGGACAAGTTCACCCATCCTGTTATGACGTCCACCCTTGACCCTCCGTTCCTCATCACATAGTGACTCGGCCGGAGCATCGTGTGATTTCCAAGATCGATAGCAAACCATCCTGACAACGAAGGATCAACGACTGAAGGAAACTTCGTCTCGACGACCATCAGGAAAAGAGAATTGATCGCCAACTATCACTCGATCCAGCACCTGTGAGCATTTCTCAGCTCAGCTGGACCATCTCATCTCTGTAGCTACATCCTCTGGTTGTGACATGTGCCCTTCAAAGCGCCTACAGCTCAGGCACAGGTGGGGCCCTGTCTTGACTTTCACGCGCCCCTGCCCCAGTCTCATCCTCCACCACAAGAGCACAGCATGCCATGACGTCACCTTGCGGGCAGGGTTGACATATCTTCCCTTGATCGACGCCGACGCCCGGTTGATGATGGTGTCAATATCCTTAGACGTCGCCGAGTCCTTAGATCCCAGGTAGTAGAAGACCTGCTCAACAGTCTTGGCGATTCTTTCTTCAAGGTCAAGGCAAGCACAGACCCCGTTCCTGTCCCCGATGCGATCGAAAGTACAGTCTACCACGTCGAAATCAAGGTCACCCAGAATGTAGTCTCTTCTCCTTTCCTCCTCCTCCTCCTCCTCCATCTTGTGCCCCACTTCTTCCATGGTATCATCATCACCAAGGCTAAAATCGTCTCCAAGGCCTGAACGAGCAGGGGGAAAGTCATCAATGAATGAGAAGAGCAAAGAAAATGTCGGATAGGAGGGAAGGAGAGGAATAGAAGGAGGGAGGGGCGCAGTGAGAGGCAACCAGGCCAGAAAGAGAGGGAAATTGAATGGATAGAAAGTCCAGAAGGCAAGGAAATCAGAATGCAAGGAAATGAACGCACCTCCCCGCAAATTTGTCATTCTTGGACTGCATGCCCCTCCATAGAACCGGATGACATGAGTTGGTATCTGTTGTATCAGCAAGATTGTGGGGGCAGACCTTGAAGATTTCACAAGATCAAAGTTTTCACTGACATCTACAGCACATTGCAAACAGTTCAGAGGAGAAAACCTTTACACGTCTTTCTCCTCCCTCTTGCTTCCCCCCCCCTCCCCCGCCGCCGACATCCATCTTTATGCGTTATCATCTGTTCCCCCCCTCACCTCGCCCTCCTGTCGCCACGACGCAGGCCAGCATGACGGGGAGGTTGATGCGCCCAATCCCTACCATTTTGGTGCAAGTCCGGAAATTCGTGAGCCGCGCAGCTGGCAGACCGTATCTTTTGAAAGCCACAAACTTCGAATGGCGAGGGAAAGGAGCAACAGGGCGGCTGGGAGGGAGGGAAGAGAAGAGAGGGAGGGAGAAACAACATGTATGCGGGGGAGAGAACGCATGCGGGAGAAGAGCTGAGGGGAGGAGGGATGGAAGGGCAGCATGAGACGAGGACACGGTTGAGAGGAGATGCGATTGATCTATGGTAGACATGCGAGGTACGAATCTGACATGCGAGGACAGAACGGGAGAGGAAGCGATGGGATGGACATGAACGGGGCAGGAGAAGAGGGGAGGGCGTGGAGAAGGGAAGCACACGGAAAGGAGAGCATGGCGACGGGAAAGGAAGGAAGGAACGAAAACCAACTATGACAGCAGCAAGTATGTGCCTTCATATTCATGTTAGCGGGGCAGGACAAAAGTTTGGAAGGCTTCCACCTTATAAAGATTTACATAAGAACTTGCGGTTGTAGAAACAATATAAGACTCTAGTCAAACAGGGCGAACAAGACGTAGGTTACAACTGGTAGTTGAGGTCAGGCTGGAGAAAGACTTGGCACCATCCGCGACAGAACTGCACGACCTCCAAGAATGCTGCGAGGGAGGCGAGTCAGGCAACCTTGACAACTGTCGCAGGCTGCAGTGATACCTGAACCTGCAGCAAAGCAGCTCTCGAAGATTTCGTGCGCGTTCATCTCGAAGTTCCCTTGCCACTTCATACACTGTCAGGGTGGAAGGAATCGACGAGGATGGCAGTGTGGAGCCGATGAAGGAGCAAGGGAGGAGGGAGAGATACATGAGGAGGATGAGCTAAGGGAGGGAGATCAAGGTGGGGGTATATGATCCACTGAGCTTCTCACCATGTATGAGCTTGCGAGCTTCTTCTTTGCAAGTTGCAGTCCCGCGTTCGCCTCCTCCAGCGTCAGTTTGCTGCGCGCACGTCAAGGGTTCCGCAGGCCTGTGCCGGCAGCTATTCGTCTCTTCACCCGTCAAGATTTTTGTCGAGGAGGTAGAACACGCTTGCGACCTCGTGGGCCTTCGGCAGAAGGTACTGCAGGCCGTCAGTCCTTTCGGTCACCAGCTCATGGACTAGGCTACTTGCGCCAACGCGTCCTCCTCTGGCAGTGAGAAGCAGATCCCGTCAGGGAGGATCACTTGCATCTTGTAACGCTCCAGGAAGCTCTCGACGTTGACCATTTTGCTGCCATCACTGGGGACTCCAACGAGCTCCTGGATTCAAGGCATCAGATCGGGGTCTCCCTCAAACAAGGTTGCGCTCTCGTACCCCTCGCAGATGCCGCAAGTCGATGTTGAGCTTCAAGACTCTCCTGCGCATAACGGTGAGAACCGGTCGGCGGTGGAGGAGAGCCGGACCGTAGGACTTGGCTCCATTCTCCTTCCCTGATGTCCTTTCTCTTCTTTGCAACCGAGAGCAGTTCTCTCCGCAGAGCTTCTTTGTTCATACAGATCAAGTCTACAAGCTTTTGCCTGAGGAAATTCCATCAGACCGCTAACTTGACCATCGTTCAAGTAGACCTGCTCTTGAATCCCAAGCAGCGAATCACTGAGTTTGCAGCCGAGAAAGTGACCACCCTGACCGAGCCGTCATGCATAAGATTGAAAGTATTGCAGGTTCAACCTTGGGACTCCCTTGCCGTCTCCATTGAAAACCTGTGGACTTTCTCTCACTGCATGAAAGGCAAGGCACAAGATTTACCAGCACAGATGCTGTGTTTCCCACTCCGTCGTAGTTGGACGCACTGAAAACAGTCCAGATAGAGACGTCTTGACCTGAAAAGAATCAGACTTACAGGAAAAGACAGAAATTCGATAATCACCGCAGTGGATCTCATCCCAGCCCTTGCCAACACACTGGTGGCTTCTGACCAAAGTTTTCAACTTGTTCTTTTTCAGGAACTCCCGAACAACACCGGGCCCATATCTGCAACTTTCATCAGAGACAACCCTCATATATTATTGTGTCATTCAGCACAGCCTGCTTGTAGATGCAAGATTGTTCTAAAAAGAACAGCGCAGGGAAGCACAGTCGTGAATATATCATACCTGATTCCTGCTCCCCGGAAGTAGTTCGGTGTGGCTTCAAAATCCTTTGCAGTCTGGTCAATCGAAGGATCAACAGGGTCAGACCAAAGTAGATCCTGCCAGCGTTTCAACAAGATGACGTGTTTGCTTGCAATCCAGTACCTCGGCGATCGTTAGCCATTTCGGCATCTGGGCCCACAAGTTGCAGCCGGGAGGATGAGACTCTTCCCACGCAGCACTGCGCATCTCGATTCAGAATCATATCATGTTGTTAAATCACATCTGACCTCACGGTCGTCTTCAACTTTCTCCTTGGGATACAGTTGATTTGATCGATGTTGACCATGGTTCTGCTCATTTCACGTCACTTACATAACTGGGCTCCTAATGTGAGATGGTCACCTGGGCACGCCAGCATGCACAACAAAAGCCTCGTTTCCAATGACACACCCCAGGGGCAAATACGTAAACACATCGCAAACCTTCTCATACAGTGCTCGACATCCATATTTACAAACAATCTCGTCGAAAAAACCGTATAGCTTGCAGATCTTCGTATCTTCATGATTTCCACGATTCAGAATGATATTCTTCGGGTGCACAACCTTTAGCGCAAACAATGCAGCAATGATCTCAACCCCGCGGTCTCCTCTATCTACAAAGTCCCCATTGAAGACGAATGTGTTTCCTGGACCGGGCCATCCCACCAGCTCGAAGATTCGCGACAGATCCGCTAGACTCCCATGAAGGTCGCCAACGACCGTCACCCGTTGCATGGGAGGAATCTTCACGATGTTGGGCTCGTCTGCAAGGATGGGCTTGACGAGGTTGAGGATATTCTCCAGCGTGCCTCTGTGCAAGTGCTGCTTGTCCACGTAGAGCTGCTTCACGAGGGAGACGACGTCGTCGTGGTGGAACTTCTTGGGGAGCTGAGCTCCACCAGAATCGATAGCCCTGATTTCAATGAAGTTTGCCTTGTCTAGATCTTCGCTCTCGGAGGCGATCTGAGACAGCATGGAGAACACCATCCGCGTCTTGGTGATGGGGTCGATGGCACTCTGGATGATCGTGTATGGCGCTGGATCCGGTTCATCCTCCAGCTTGCTCTCGGTCACCGATGCGCGTGAGAAAAAGCAGGAGAGGAACATATTTAGGTTCAAACATCTGCAAATAAACTTGCTTGGCGAGACACACATGTTTGTTAACGAACTACGCCATATCCTTTCGACAGGGTTTCTGCTGGAAGATGGAAAAATGCTGCATAGGGCACGATTCACTTCTGATGGACTTGAATTATGTTGCCTGCTAGGTTTTGATCCCATGGAATTTGTTTGGATTGCACTTATAACGGACAGCCATAAGAAGAGCCATGATAGAACGCAGCGCATGCTTGCAATTCGCGAGAAGAACATGTCAATCAAATACCCAGAGTTGAAATAGCTTGCAGTGGAATGCAACACAAACTATAGATTACAATGAGATACTTGGATGCTTAGTCTCGTGTCTGACGTGTTGTTGCTTGAACGACTGCAAGTATGCATGAGATCTTCAAATCGTTATGCAATGCGGGCGAGCTTAAGCATCCACCATGATGATCGTAGGCTTGAAGACGGCAGTAACAGGGTTCAGACCGTTTCACGTTTCCTCGTGCTGGCTCTCAAGGTTTCCATTGCCGCAGAAAGCTGCACTCCCTTCCTTCGCTTGACCAAAAGCCCTTCCTCCATCGACGGGGAACAGTTTACAAGTGCATTTTAAACCTATTTTAACAAGGTTTTAAGTGTTTATAGAATCAAACCGTAAGCAACTCATTTTTGAAATTAGATAAAACAATTTCAAGCTTTCAAACCAAAATTTCAATCGGTTCTCACACTTTATAACAAGAAGTTAGTTGCAGTACTGAATCGGTCCTATGACAATTTCGATCTGTCGGATCTCGATTAAATAACGTTTTATATATTCAATACTTTCGAGCCTTAAAAAATATGTAGCTGGATGGTTGTCGATCCGCATCTTGAGATACCATTTTATAACTCCAAAAACATTTTAGGAGTTCTATTGCACGTGGAAATTTTTAAAGTAAAACGTTTTAAGACTGGTGGTTGGATGCCATGGTGTTGCCTACTCGTGTTCCCCAACGACATATTACTGAAATGTACCCCCACCCCCCATGGCTAGGAGAAAATAACCACGATTCAGTGGGTACTCTACACACCCTCCCGTCGCTACGACCCAGGGGTCTACTACAAATTTCTCCCATAGGGAGCAGGTTCTGGAGGCTTTCATTGGGGGTGGGGGTGGGGCGGTTCCTGTGGGTACTTTGGCATCCATAAGGGGGTCCTCTTTCGGATAATCAGGGGGTAGGGGTGCCTTGTCAGATGAGATTGCTGACCACTACCTTCCTACTTCAGGGTCTGACACGACTTCAGTACCCGTATTGTCATTGGGAAAGTAACGGGTACTCAAGTACCCCCACCCTACTTCAAAGTGCCTACAGCCCCTGCGACTGCTGGAATACCCCTTCCACTTCCTCCTCCACCCGCCCCCTCCCCTTTCGTCCCCTCCTCCACTACTCGCCCCTTAAGTTGGTTGCAACACAGCTCTGTAGCTATGTGCCGTCGTGTTACCTGCTCTACTTGCAAGAAGCCCTCGTGGGCAGGATGCGGTGAGGCGATCGACAAACCAAACCTCTGTTACCTTGTTGTGCATTCATATGCTCTTTTCTCCTACACTCCCTTCCGCCTTATCCCTGCTCCACGACAATGTTTTCATGCCGATACACGACCGTTTCCTTGAAATTTTCTCTCTTGTGCTCGACGCCCGTTTCCTTGAAATTTTCTCTCTTGTGCTCGACGCATTGTCCCCTTCTGATGTTTTGAGTTCAGGAATGCATGTCGAACAGGTCCTGAGGGACGTTCCCGAGGCAGACCGGTGTCAGTGTCCAAAACAGGGCGGAGGATGTAATGTGTTCTAGAAACAGAAATTGAAAGCGTGTAGCTTTTTAGAAACTAGAAAGAGATAATTGAAAGCATGTAGCAATATCCTTCCTAGTCGCTGTTGGGTACCCACGCCCGAGTCCTTCCATCCTTGGACACTGTACAGAGGACGTGCTGGTAAACTTTGCCAGTTTTGTCCGTGAGGGAATCAGGACTCCAGATCATCTGAAAGACCTGTTGACTGGAGTCAAGGCCATGCATGTCATGTATACCAACAGCAATGAATACCTGCCCCGTCTCCTCCAAGTGAATCTGCTTTGCAAGTCAAAACCAGGAGAGATGTCTCGCAGAGCCATGACCTGGGACAAAAGCTCTCCTGTTGGGAGCTTGTAGAAGCAGAGGCCGGCAGTCTTGCTCCATGTTGCTACTATCGGGCTGTCCTTACCAGGGGCGATCGCTACAAGATCGATCTGCGATGTGCGTGAGGGGCGGGGAGCTTCAGAGGAAGACGTACCGATTTGCTATCGATCGCATCAATCGTGAGCAAGCATTTCGGGTCCTCTTTCATCCTGAGGCCATGCGAGTAAGGCAGGTTTCAGCCACCATCCTCGCTCACTTGTATCGAACGTCGATGTTCCAGATCTTGCACTTGCCGTCCTTGGAGACCGTTGCTGCCCTTGTTGACTCGCAAACCTTGCTCTCAGGTCAAGTTCCAAGCACTGAGATTGTCAGGGGCTACCAGTATAGCAGGAGAGCTCCCGCCAAAGTCGACAGCATGCACCGCAGCCGAGTGACCCGTTGCCCCTCCTCCTCCGCTTCTCCCCGTTAACTCCATCACCTTTCCGAAGAGCCTTCCAGCGATCACATCATTGCAAGTCATGGCGGAACAAGCCGATCATAAACACCTGAAGCCTTCTTTGTCGGCTCCGACCTCCCACACCTATCGTTGTTCCACCAGTAAGAGCAGGAGGGCAGCGAGGTGCTGATCACCTTAACATCGCACTGCATCGAGGCCACAGCGACGAATCTTGAATCTGCGCGACAAGCCACAAGCTTCACCTCCTTAGGATCACACGAACAGCAACAGCCAACTAACCCGGAGAGATGACACAGTGATAGACCACTAAGGCCCCAGGGTTGATCACCCCCAGCGGCTCCCCGGACGCCTTGAACAGTCTAACGCTCTCCTGCCCTCATCGTCATGGAGGCGGAAAGCTACAACTCCCTTGTATACCTTGTCGTCCGTTGAGCAGATCGCCAGAAATTTCCCGTTGTACGACCAGTGCATCTCCGTGATGGACTTTGCCACGTTGGTCTTGATGGAGACCTGACAAGAACAGCTCATTGAGTTTGAACTCCTGCAGATGCCATCTGGTGAATCACCTTGGCTCCTTCCTTGACCCCCTTGACAGCAAATATCTTGATCTGCATCGAAAAATCAGCCTTACAACTACGGACTGTGTCTTGAGTGCACCTCTTTGCTGGTAGCGTATGCCACAGCAAAGTACATGTCATCTGGGCTGCAGAACAAGAAAGGATCAGGGGAGAAACAGTCAGCTGGCAGCCCTGTCACACACCTGAAGGCAACAGAAACAGGTTGATCGAGCTCGGGAATGACGTTCTGGTATCGAAATTCTCGTAAATTGGAGACAAGCTTGCCATGGGAGCAATCACCTGAAGCTGGATCGGTGGGAACTTTTGATCGAAAGGGAGGAACCACCACCCAAGGTCAGGTGCGAGTCAACAGTTACCCGCTAAAGGTACCTTTGTTGCGTCCCAGATGATGACTCTCCTGTCGTCGCCGGTAGACGCTGCAAGCTTGCCTGTCGAGCTGAACATGAAGCAGTTCATACCGTCCTTGTGGCCCTTGACCTCGAAGATGCATTGCTTGTGCTTTTCTTCCTTCTTCACTTTCTTGTCTATCGTTTTAGCAGGTGGTTCTTGCTTTTCTTGCTTGTTGTTCTTTGCCTTGTCCTTGGAGCTCTGTCGTGTTTCCTCACTCGTAGCAGACTGTGGTTTCTCCTTCCCTTGACTGAACTTCAGCCATAGGAATCCAACAACGCACAAGACTATAGCCACAACCACCTGGCGAGGGCAAAGTCAGAAGAGCTGTCAAGGAGAGATGCCCACGTGGCAGAGGAACAACACGAGGAAGCGCACAAGGTATCAGCGGTGGCACGCAGGACAAAGAAGGTGCATGACGCGTGCACATGTGAATGTGAAGGAGCAAGGTGTGAAAGAGGCAGGGAGATGGTTTCTCCTCGTTGGCAGTGTGTCGGAATCTGAGACAGATCAATGTGGATTCACTGGTGACTATGCGGGATCGCCAGCAAGGGTTGATTTCTTGCTGATAGCTCAAAGACATGCGTCATCGTGTCGACACATTTGATATCATAGAACAGGCATCGAGGCCCTGCCATGGGAGATCCGGATTCAAACTGGTGCCAGTGAGGAGAGGAGAGCAAGGGACAGGTTAGGGAGAGACGCGGATGGATGATCATGAGAGGATGACAAGACCATGAGAAGGAAGTGAACGCGCTCAGATCTGACAAGACCACATATCGCATCATGTGAGATCCAGTATCTCAGGCAACATATCAAGATTACATTGCCGCTAATCGAGCATGTTTTGGATGCTCGCGGAGCAGGAAGGAGGAGATGGAGGTGGAGGAGGCAAGGGAAGGAGAAGGA